AAGCCAGGCCTTGCAGTGACTGGGGTGGAGTGACCAATCCCTGGGTGAGTCAGGCTCAGAGGAATGTGGAGAGGAGGCTGCATGGACATGCGAGTCAGCTCTAGGAATCACACCTGTCTCAACATCATGGTCATTAGTTTCTCGTCTCAATTTACTTAGGAACTTGAGAAGTAGAGGCATTACTGGATAAGTGTACATCAGAACTCAAGGCCACACAACAATCAAGTCATATCCCATTAAGTTGTGACTGTGCCCTCCCCTTGCACTTTGCATGGGGTGGAGTAGCAAAAAGATCTACCTGTGGATAGCTCCAGCTAAGAGATCTCTTGGAACACCTCATTGTTCAGATCCTACTCGTGGTTGATGCTGAAATGTCTGCCGAGGGAATCCGCCACTGTGTTCTGTAGTCCTAGTAGTTAACTGCTGAGATCTATATGTGGTGTGATATGCACCAGTTCCATAGTTTTATGGATTCAGCACATAAGGACTGGGATCTTGCTGCTCCTTTCCGATTGATGTAATACATCACTGCTCTGTTGTCCAGCATTATCTTGACTGGGTGATCCTTGATGTGTTGTAGGAACTGTTGGCAAATTTAATGGACATTAAATTTGAGCTCTTATATGTTGATATGGAGGATCACCTCCTGAGGGGTCCATTTGCCCTGAGCTGTGAAGTTTTGGAAGTGGGCACCCCAACCTATGAGGGAAGCATCTGTGGTGATAATCCTCGTGAGAGGAGGCTGTATACAGGGAACTCTGATGCGCACCTTTTGTGGGTCCTTCTACCAGTTCAGACAATCAAGGACCTTCCAAGATACAGACACCCACTTATAAAGACTGTGTCTCTTGGGGGTGTACACAGTTCTCAATCATGCTTGAAGATACCAAAAGTGCTAAGGAAGTCACAAACATACATGCTGTCATGTGGCCCAGAAGTTGCAGACAAGCCCTTGCAGTGATTTGTAGACTCTGTTGGATTGCTGAAACAAGGTTGGACGTTGTGGTGAATCGGTCCCTGGGTAAGTATGCTCTGGTGGAGGAGGAGTCCACAGTGGCCCCGATTAAATCTATATGTTGTGTGGGTGTTAGGGTAGATGTCTCCATTCTGAAGTAGAAACTCAGAGAATGAAACAGAAACCTTGCTGGTTGCTGTCTGTGCTTTGAGAAGCAAGCAGCCCTTCAGGAGCCAATCATCCACGTAAGGAAAGATGATATGCCCATCTAGTAAAGATAGGCTGCTGTGGCTGACAGAACTTTGATAAAGATCTTTGGGGCAGTGGAGAGACCAAGGGTAGGAGACAATACTGGGAGTGATCTCTGTCTACCACAAAACGTAGAAATCATTTCTGCATGGTATGAATGGCATCATGAAAATAAGCATCCTGAAGGTTGAATGAAAAGAATGAATGTCCCAGATCTAGAGAGGGAATTATTGTTGCTAGGGTCACCATTTTTAATTGCTGGGAGCAGATGAAGGTATTTAAAGTCCTGACGTCGAGAATTGGTCTCCACCCCCCATTTTTCTTTAAGACAAGGAAGTACCAAGGAAAGAACCCTTCCTGAGAAAGTCTGGTGGGACAGGTTTGATTGCCCTCACACCTAGGCAGGATCGTACCTCCTGCTTTAAAAGGTCTTTGTGAGAGGGGTTCCCAAAGGCAGACTGGGGGGAGGTTGTAAAGATGGATGGAATAGCTTGTAGAAATCTCCTCCAGGATTCAGCTGTCTGATGTGATGAGCTCCCAATAAGGTAAGAAATTAAAGAGATGCCCTCCATAAGGGTGGAAGGGGAATAGGTGCAATGCAGGATCTAGAGTGGGAGTTAGTTTGTGACCCTCAACCAATGGGTCAAATGGATGTTTTGAAGATGTCCCTGGCTGAGTGGTTGCTGAAGAGGAGAGCCCTTTCTTAGGGAATCTGGTCTTCTACGTGGGGGGCTTCAGCCGGTTTCATGGGCTAACAGTACACTGGGAGAGATTGTTGAGCTGTCTGCAACCTGCTGTATTTTTAATTTATTTATTTATTTAGGCAGATGTAGAGATGCCCTGAGATTGTAGTGTCACCTGAGAGTCTTTGAGAGAATGCAGAGACCTCTCGACCGCATCACTAAACAACTTTGGGCCTTCAAAAGGAAGCTCTTCAACCAGATCTTGTACCTCCTGTGGGAGGCCAAAAGACTGCAGCCAGGAAGCTCAGAGCATGACTAGTGCCGTAGCCATGGAACACGCAGCTGTGTCAATGGTATCAAGTGAGGCATGGAGAGATGCCTTGGAAACGGTCTGACCCTCTATCATGAGGGCCTGAAATTGTTGTGTCTGCTCCTGAGAAAGGTGTTCAATAGAGAAGAAAATTTTGAATAGACTGTGAAGTCATACTTTGACATCAGGGCTTGATAACTGGCTACACTAAGCTGTAAGGAAGCTAAGAAGTAGCTCATACAGCCCAGAAAGTCCAATTGTTTTAGGTCCTTATCAGAGGGTATTGAACTGAACCAATGTTGCCAATTCCGTTCACTGGCACCACCTGCGAGTTGGGAATCAGACAGGAGGTACCCTAAGCCTCTGGGAGGGATGTACTACTTTTTGTTGGCTTATTTACATGTGGGTGAGAAGTGGTTGGAGTTGACCACACTGTGCGTGTGCAGTAAGCAAAGCTTCACTGATGGGCAAGGCAAACTTGCCTTGAGGAGATGAAGGAAGGCTATCCAACATGGAACGTTGGGATTCCTGAATCTCATCTAATGGGACTTGTAAGTCGTCTGCCACCTTTTCTATGAGTTCTTGAAAGGCTCTGAAGTCATTGGGGTAAGATGGTGGGGGAGGTATGATATCCTCCTCATCTCTAGATGAGGCTTTGTGGGAAGGTGGTGTTTCTTCCTCTTCCACTGGTGTCCTGTCTGGAGGGATCTGGGGGCATCAGTTTATGTTCTTAATATGACCTCTTTTGTGATGGCACGGTGTAGAAAGGGTCACCATAATTAACTCATGGATTCCAATAAGCCCAATCTCTCAGAAGACCAGAACGAAGGGGCTGACCCAGAAAAGTCTCCTTTATTATGAAAAATATTTTTAAAAAGGATACCTCCAGGTATTAATTCTCCACTGTTTTCCTACGAAAAGTTATGGATTTCCTATGCAACATTTGGTAGATGAAAAATAGATGCTTTTGGTATTTAAGTCATATTAAAGAGATTTCAGCTTCTCAATGGCTTTTACAGAATTGTCATTTATATGCTAGCAGGCAGGAAGCAAGATAACTGAGAACATGAAGAAACTCATTTTGCCATGGAATCAAGAGCACAAAGCACAGTATTTTAAACATCAACTTTACATAAGTTTCTACACACATATGTTTTGTTTTAAAATAAACTTTCTTCCCAAACAGAATCCAGAGATTTCAAATCACACATAGCCTGCAGCAACACCCTGAGAAAAGCCTCTCTGTCCCCCTTCTCAGCCTGGTATTCTCAGACCAGACCACTGTGTCAGAGGGCAGGTAGGTTACAGTGTTCAGAACAGGCTATATAAGGAATCTTGTGTGTGTTCTCAAACAAAGCAAATCAGGAAAGGTGGACAGATCTAAGGCACACCATTTCCCAGGAAGAGAAATTCTTAGACAGTCTGGCAATAAAATTAAGCTAAGTTACAACAAAACTACATTCATCCATTTTTTAAAAAACTATATTTTGAAAATTCCTAAAATTAGTGTTCAAAATCCAGTGCTTTGCTTATTTAGATGTGCAGAATAAATTTCTACCTGTTCCAATTTCCCTTGATCATTAATAAGTCCTGTCTTCAAAAATATATGTTTTTTGACACAAGTTTAGTTATTTATGAACTTAGAAAAATACCGTAGCTTTTGTTCTAGCTTTAAATATGAACACATCACTGAGCACAGTGATACCAGTGCATCAATACAGACCTCAACAGGTGAGAACTCAGTATGCTTCTCTGGAGTCTTCATTTGCTGTTCTACTTAATTTTCAAATGAAGAGAGAGTTCTTACATAGCTCTTTTCATCGGTAGCCCTCAAAGCACTTTACAAAGGAGGTGGCGTTTCTCCATTTTACAGATGGGGAAACTGAGGCACAGAAATTAGATTTGCCCAAGGTCACCCAGCAGGCCTGTGGCAGAACTGGGAATAGAACCCAAGTCTCCTAAATCCGAGTCCAGTGTTGCAGATCTCACTTGCATCTGTTAGTCATTTTCAGTTAGCATTACAGTAGAACCTCTGTAAATTATTCTAGTCACTACTGCAGTCACTGCAGATTGTTTACTTGCAAATTCGAAAATTTCAATAAACAAACATGGAAGGATAATACATCATGTACATTACAGTTGTCAAAATAAATGACCAGTCTTATAATATACTTTACAGTATTCCAGACAATATACTATATAATAGTTTGTCAAAGTAACAAAACCCACCTAGAGTACATGGCTATTAAATCTTCACAGAGGAGACACCAACATTTTTTGGTGTATGAATCAAAGTATTCTGATCACTAACTGCAATTTAGCAAGATTCTTCTGTTTTTGATTTTAGCATTGGCTTATGATGACACAGGGCTAAGACCATGAATCCATCACTGAGGTCACTGATTCTGTGATTTTACGAGCCCTCTGTGACTTCTTGAAAATTCCAATAATTCAGCCCTGGCCAGCGGGGTTCAGGTTCCGGCTTCACCCCGGCCAGCAGCTCCTCAATAAATCCATGCTTTATTGTTTATTGCTAAAGTCCTGTGCATGACTTTTGATAAAAATACCCGTGACAAAATCATAGCCTTACACATGGCTAATGCTTGCCTCATTAGGGCTTATGTTTGGACAACAAGCAAAAATTCATTTTACATCCAAACTCATTTTATGTCCATCAGTGCTTATTACGCAAGACAACGATGAAAAAGTCAAAACAAACAGAAGGGATAAATAGCTTATTTTTACCATATAAAGCATCTCCCCAGTATGTAACTTGATTATAAAAAAATGTTAATTATTATACCTTTGGGTGTATACATTCCTTGTTGCATAGAACCTCCAGGTTCAAAAACGGGAGCTTTAAAATCAGCAACTGCTGACAACATTGATTCAAAGCTTAAACTTCCTGGAACAATGCCACTTTTGGGATTGGGGTTTTCTGGAATGTGATCTTTATGTTAAGAAAAACTATTGTTATCAAGGACTATTTAATAGCAGAAACATAGCACATCACTATTTACTTTCGTCTAATGTTTTAAGAGCTTCATTTAAGATGCTAAACTTTTGCAATGCTTTAATTTCACCACAAGAGGTCTGTGTACTACAGCAGTTCCAGTGTAATCAAATTTGTATTGTACCATATCAACACTTTTTGGGTATAATTTTAATTCTGTACACTACTTGCATTATTGCTCAAACTGCTATGGGCTTATTCAGGGATTATATACTAATGCACATCACTACAAATATTCTTGAACATGCTGTTAAACTTGTGCAGCTACCAATAAGGTGTGGTGGGGAGGATTGTTTAAACTTTCCAAAAATCTCTTCTCTCAATCAGCAATCTTTCTGTATAGAAACACTCTCATCCTCAGAAAGTACGTCTTGAGAGTGAAAATGTCAAGCAAGCTCACTGATTGGCGATTATACATACATATGCACTGACGTGCACTTTTTGTTATTAAAAAAAAAAAACCATATATGCTTGTATCCATGTGATAAATAATGATCACTTGATTTCTAGTACTACTAGTAACAAACATTATTTTGAGTTAGGGTTAAGCACAAACAAAGTAAGCAGATGACTGGGACCCACAGACCCTGAAAGCTCTGTAAAATGGGTTGGCTATATCTGATTTTCTGGAAGTGGTAACCTGCAGGGGAACAACTCATTTCCTGATCTCCCCTTTTGGCAGTCCCAAAAATCAGAAGGTCAGCCCTGCTTTAGCTATTTTAACTTTTGGCAAGCAATAGGATTTATAAAAATTTAAGTAAGCCACTAGCGTTGAATAAACAGGCAGCTTGGCTGACCCACAAACCAAGAGGCTCTTGCAGGAATGGAGGAAAAAGGGGGGTGGGTAAGAGAAACTTGGCATTGACTCTCTCTTGAAGAAAGGTTGGTGAAGCACAAATACAGAAACGAGGATATTCATGAATTAGTCTGGTTTTAAGTATTAATAGAAATATCCTTTCATGCTGAGGAGGGACATAAAAGTTGCTGAAAGGGAGGCTTTATGATTTATGTGCAGGAAAAGATGGGGGGGCGGAGTGCTTGATGATAAAAGGAAAATTCAGGAAGGGGGAAAACTAGTGGGTTTAACTAAAAATATTAAAAGCAATATTGTGTGTACAGCAATGGGGGATGGATGGGAAGCTATAGGTGGAAACAAACTACGAAAGAAAAAACAAAATAAAATGGAAAAAATAGATTGTGAAACTAGCATGATGTGCACATATCATACCTAAGCACTCATATTATTACCTTAATATTGTAAACCTCAACCTACTTTTCACCATTTCTGCCTTTAAATTATTGCGGTCACTTACTGCACTATGTTTATATTTGGACTGCAAGTTCTTTAAGGAAAAGATCATGTATATTTTACTTGGCTGCAAAGCACCTAGTACACTGTAAAAACATCTAAAATGTATTGCAAAGCCTCACGTGTATCATTTGCATACGAACAATTAAGGAAGACTAAAGTACTGAAGAAAATTTCATTGTGATCAACAGTACATCATAATCCAATGACATCTGCCCACAACTCCTAAAGTTTGAGGTTGTTACGAGCGAGCAATATTGATGGCATCGTGCACAAGCTTGAAAATACTGCACAACACAAATTTCTTTTATAGTACTAGTTACACACAGAAATCAAAATAAATAAGTTAACAAGATTCCAAGGATATGAGATCCAGTAGTGAACTATGAGTCCTGTCGTTCATACAGAGCTGGGCTACCATCTCTGCTCTGAGGATCTCGTCATCTGTCATTCCTAGGGCAATAAAAATAAAATTAAATACCCTGTACAAGTTGCATGAGTAAAGAAAAAGAGAATATAGAGGCACACACATGTAGTCAAATCTCAGTAAGTTAAACACTAATTACAAATGTGAGACAACGGTTTGATATCCTAGTTAACACAGTTACATTATTACAATTACAATTCAGATTTCTGGTTGATTCCCCGAAGATGTCCACAAGAATTTACTAAACTATTCCTATTTTCTTATATGAGTGCTCTATGTATTTGCAAGTTGTGTAAAGTAACAGCTCGCTGATATTTCTCAATACATATGCTGTTTTGAAAACAAACTATTGCACAGGAGTCAACACTAAAGCATGTTTTCCAAAGACTGTATTGTAAAGCCTGGTAATAAACGAAGCTTAATAAAATACAACAGAATGCAAGTTTTAGCCAGGATTTTAAGTAATCTCTTAGGCCCAATATTGCAAACATTTATGCACACTCTTAACTTCAGGCACATGAGTAATAATCATATACGTAAGTATTTGCAGTACTGGAGTTTAATTCATTTTTCTATGGCAATATCAAAGTAATTTTATTCTGTGTTAAATACTGTGTATTTTGGGGGGGTGAGGGGAATATACCAAAACAAAATTACCTGGAAGGTTTCACAGATGCCTAGCTGAATGTTTGGAACTTATGCCACTAAAGCAATATCAAATTAGCATACTGCAGACTTATTGTACCAACTAGCACATGTTCCTACGTCAGTAACATTAGAAATGCTAGAAGGGGTGATTACAAAGCTCAGTTCAGCATAATTCTGAATAAAGATCAGTGTCAATAACACTAAGATATATTTACAGGACTTTACCAGGGGTAAATCCCCCTCCGTCACTCTGCAGGTATGGAAGGCCCAATGGACAGGATAACTGCGGTAGTTGCACGGCTCATGTTTGGGCCAAGATGTAGGAAGTGCATGTAGAGAGACTGTATGCCACAGCATGTGCTCTGAAAGGGCAATTTGTGCAAAGCTGCAGAAGTAATTTATGGAATGGGGTAAGGCTAGTGGATCCAAAGCAAGAAGAGCAGCAGCCACTGGGGCAACAGTAACTCTAAAGTTTTACCAGCTGCCAAGTTTTGCATGGTCAGGGGAGAAGTCTTGGTACAAGACCAGGATTTTAACCCAGGTTACTGGTAAGATACTTTCTACATCATTTCTATTACAAATTAACAGAAAAGGAATGTTCACAAAGCTGAAAATATTACACATTTGCTTCTTCGCACATCATTTTTGAGGTGCCCAAGTGGGAAATGAGTCTTTCCTGTAATTCAAGCATTGACTGGATAATGTCCTATTCAGTTTACTTGATACAAACAGCAGAAACCAAGTCATGTATATAAAAATAATAAAATACAATAAAATTTCAGTTAATAAGGAATGTCAAAGTTCAGACAGGGAAATAAGAAGCTCAACCATAAGAGATTATTACAAATAGCTTTAGGATTTGCTGATTCAAACAGTAGAATTGACATTTACACTTCAATATACATCTCATGAGCATATGTATAAAAAAAATTCAGCCGTTTATTTCTCTCAAGGACAGGAATGGACTGGATTGCAATAAAGAAAAAGACACCCTAACCCTGTATTTTGGCTGTTTCTAGTTTTTAGGATGGTTAAAATGAAGCAACTGATGAAACTGAAATCAAATTATAAACAAAGAATGACCATTTGATTTTATTTAATAATTTTACTTATTCTGCTACAGGACAGCTATTAAATGCCAAAAAATTTAAAACCAAATACACATAAAATTCCATGTTACAGTAATATTTGTGATTAGACAGTTGTGATTCTTACCTAAATGTAAGCGAAGACTTAACAGAATGACAAGAAATGTTAAGGCTCCTTCCAACATAGATCTCTCATGTTCTGAATCAAGAACTGTATTCTGATGCTGCGATGCCATTGTTAACAGATCTACCACCTTGAATCTAGAGAACACAGAGTAAGGTTAGAGACGTCATTCTTCCGTATCAAGAGCCTGATGCTGAGAGGTGCGAAGTACCCGGGATGCCTACTGAAGTACCATTCAGGCCCAGGCCCAAAAGGAGTACAAAATAAGTTGTATATAATCTAATTAGAAGCAAACCTTGAAGTGAAAGGCTTTTTATTTTCAGAAAGTATATCCTTATCTTCATTGTACTGTACTGATCCTATTCATACTTCATATTCAAATACATGACATTTATATCAATTGAATACTTGAAAGTAGGTTAGTTGGTATTGACATTTATGTCCTGCTTTTCTTCAGCCATGTCTATGCTACAGCAGCACAGCTACTGTGCTGCAGCTGTAATCCTGTAGCATAGACATTGCCTATGTCAGCGGAAGGAGTTTTTCCGTCAATGTAGGAAATCCACTTCTCCAAGAGACGGCAGCCACGTTGACAAAATAATTCTTCCATCAACCTAGCTGCGTCTACAGAGAGGTTAGGTTGACCTAACTACTTTGCACAGGGTGTGACATTTTTCACAGCCCTGAGTGACAAAGCTAAGTTGATCTAAATTTTAGGTGTAGACCAGGCCTGTAGAAGCAAGCAGATGTCTTGTGATCCTCACTGCTATTCATTCTCGCCTTCAGCGTGGGAGTTCCAAATACTTATACACCAGAGTGTGCAACACTTCTAAAATTGGAAAGCTCAGGAGAGTCAACTCTGGGGTTTCATAAACATATTGCACACATTGGAGTATAAATCCAAAACCAGCCCTAAGTGAAAGGGAGGATGAATGAAACTGCCACAGTGGAACCCATCAGAGAAATTGTATTAATGGAAGTGTATTCCTCCATCTGGGAAAGAAAAAAAAGACAAAGTGCTGTGGTGCAAGAGGGATTCAGCAGGTCAAACACCTTTTCCCCCACAGTATATTTTAAATAGTCAGTAAGTGGCAGAATGCTATATAGTGGTATTCATTCTATCCTTATGCTTTGACCTTACCTTTCAAAAACTGATGAAATAAAATAATCTGGGTCAAGTCTAGAAGCACAGACCTGTAAAAACAAACATGTACATGGTACATCATCACTTTACTCATCAGTCATTAGTGTTCTTATAAACACAGTACTTGGGTTCACAGAAACTATACCTTACCTGTAATAGGTAAATGTCAGGATCAATCATGGAGTTACAAAAATGAGACTGCACATAAGTCATTGCTTGTCCTTTAATTTGTAGACCATTCCTTACCCACATGTTACTATGGATTTCAGAAAGGCTTGCCTATTTTTAAAAGAAAAAAAAATTAGCTGAAATAAACTTTTTGCAAACAGTTCAAGGAAAAATCAGCTATTCAGTTGTCTGTAGCCACACCATCAGCTGTGATCCCCTCAGATCTCAAAATCAGCAGAGCTGGACCATGTCAAAAGCTGGATGAGAGTCATCCCAGAAAACACCCTTAGATGCTGCAAAAAATTCAGTTGGTACCAGTATGTGATTCTCTTCTTGCTGAGACAGTACTGAATCCATGCATGAGGCATGATATTAAATTACAATGGTGAATGAGACTTAAAACCAAGGCCTTGATAATTAAAAATATACTGTGCTATTTTTTCTAAGTTTGTTAACCAGGTGTGCTGCCCAAATTCAAAGCAAGATATTTATATTCCACCACAGATCTGTAATACGTATAATAATATGGTCCACTCTAAAAGGAGGTGGCATTTCAGGAAATGGAGGGGTAAGGGATGTGAAAAGATCCACGATTCTTTATCCTGAAAAAGTACCCAAAAAATGAAGTGTGTCTCTTATAATAGATTATCAATTATTACAACTGTTTCTCTTCATCTCCTAACTTCGATAGAAACAGAATGTTAAGTGTAAAGCCAGAGGCAAGAATCCTGCCCATTACTGCTTATAAAAATCAAGGAATAAAGGGTCTTCACAACCCAACCTCTACATTCACTCCTGCATCCTCAATCTGTACATATTAATTGCATGCACAAATTGTTCCGAGCACAAGTACTCAAATTTAGCAGTAGCTTTTTGAAAATGTGATCCTAAACATTAAGCATAGTTCTCAGCAATATAAACACCTAGGGTCATTATATGATGCTAACAGTATTTGAAAAAGTAGTTCTCTGTGACTCTAAGAAATACTTTTCTAAGTTTATTCTGACAAAATCACTGTAAAACTGTGCTTACACGTGATAAACATTTCATATATTGCAAGAAGTTGTCACCTACGTTAATTTTTGTATTCCACAATTAATATGTTTTTCCCCTGCTGTTTAGACATTTTTTAAAATACTTAAACTATTTGGACTGGAAGAGGGGAAAAGAGATAGCCATCCTCTTTCGTATTCTGTACATTCAAACCAAAAAAGCAGCCTGGCACCATACCTGAATCTGAAGTGGGTGAATCATTAGTTTCATCAACATCTCCTGATCTGGTAAAATAGAATCCATATCTAGCTCTTGGCATTTGACAGCCTACAAACAAAATGGAGTATAAATTTTACGGAGAACGTAAGGAAATGATTTTTTCATACTATAAACAGACAACACCTTATTTTCTTATAGAATATGGTAACAAATGCATGCTTACCTTACTCAAAAACATAGCATAGTAACGATGTAGTGGCAAATGAAAAGTAACCTGGTTAGGAGCTGGCTGCAATGAAAACAATGCATTTTACCATCAAATACAAAAAAGTATAAGAATCATACAGACTAGCATTTCACCTGGCACATCCACTGCTGATGGCTCTTTCCACTAGATATTGCAAATGTTACTGCATCTCTCCCCCTGCCAATGCTTCATCTCCCTTTTCCCAAACCGTTCCAGTTGATCTCTCCTGCTTAGCCCCTGGAATATTAGTCTCATCCCACCTGGAATCAGAGAAATGTCTCCCAATACACCAGTCCTGACCACACCCTAGTACTTCATACGAAATGGAGTGCAGAGAAGCTTTGCTTTATCATTGCTAACGCCCTCCGCTCAACTGCGTTGGAGTGCTCCTATGGCATCAATTGGTAGAACCTCATAGTCTGAATACAAGTTCACATTAATTAAATTGGGGATTCCAGAATCCTTAATTCACTGCTATATCACATCATACCCATGAATTACAAAGGTTTTAACAAGAGCTGCATTGTTTTTAACATGGTAATCCATCTGTTACAGTATTTAAAAGGATAATTTTCTTTCTCCTTTACATAATAAAAATATTAACTTTTAAAGTATTTTTTTAAGTTTAACAAGACATTTCTGACAACACTTTGTTTAATCATATAAAGGATGCAAACCTCATCTACAAAGTTGATAGCATCAAACCAGTCCTGAAGTGCTTCAAGGCAGTATCTGACAACATTTCTTGTGTACTCTTGTGTCTCCTGCAATAAGAAAAATTATTTGACATTGCACCATCGTACATTGTACCACACTATTCAAAAATAGTTTTGAGTAACGGTTTCATTAATACAATGGGGAAAATAGTTTATTAACCAGTATGATGGTTTAAGGATTTTTTTCTGTTCTTTTCTGTTCGCAGTTTTAAAACAAGGCACAAATATGGAATTTGCATAGTGTTAACTTTTTTTTAAATAAAAAGAGATTCTTTTCCAACACTGAAAATTAACATGTTTTAACGATTTACTGGTGGTTGACTCTGTCCTTCTCTACACTGAGGCTTTTCCAAAATTCATCAATGGTAGGAGTGCTAGCATACAAGAGCCTAGAATGTTTTTGCTATTGTGTTGTCCAGACCTGTTCTGAGCTGCCATGCTGGTGTAGCCCTCTATCACATTCAACTAAGTTTTATAAAAAAAACTTTCATTTTATTGTTTCAACCAATTTACCTAGTACTGAATTAAGTTTTCCGGGTCTGTAATTCCTAGGACTATCCCCAACACCATTTTTTAAGAGACAGGTAAACATTTGCTACTCTCCAGTCCTTGGGTATAATAATAGCAGATTTAAATGTTTGTTCAGCCACTTGATTGAGTTCCTTTGAAATTCTTACAAATAAGACTATTTGGTCTTGGTGGCTTAATGTTGTTTAATTTAATGTATTTGTTTTAGCACAGAAACAGGAACCTGTGCATACAAAGGGACCCTTCATGCACATATTCTAAAAGGAATTACGCATCTAATATCCTATTCAAACACTTCTACTGCAATGTCTTTAGAGTTTAGTAAACTCAATGCAGTAAAATCCAGTGTTCACCACTAGATTAACAAACATGAGTGTAATGATAATGAAAGTATAGGAGTAATTTTGTTTCAGATTAACCATAAACTAATATCAATATATATAATGTTCTCACATTGAAATACAATTTAAATTCAGTTGCATCTCTCTAAATTAAGGCAAGATAGGCTATATACCTCAAGCAGTGGGGTCAGAAGCATGCGGTGGGGGGGGGGGGGAAGACACACTACTCGTTTTTGAAGTGCCAACTAGTTAACTGTAGTACAGTATTCTAAGGGCAATTTAGCCTCAAAAGAAAGATTTAATAAAAATATCTTAATAAGATTTACAATATGAAAATGCCTTTGCAATTGCTAATTTAAACTTTCGGAATATTTAGTTTACTCAAAGAAGTCTTTTCAGTGCACATTTCAATCCAGACTTTACTGTCCTATGGACACCAACATAACTCCTCCTATTTATATTGGAAAGTAGTTTAAATTAGAAGATTGATATTTTTTATTCATAATAAATGATGATGAGGTAGAAATGTAAAGTTTTTCATGTCTCAAGTGTTCCTCTGAATTGAAGAATTCCATTTTCTGCTAGTCTATCATTGTTTGACACACAAATTAACAATTGTGTGGTGTAATGATGAGAAAAATCATCATCATGCAAGAGATTTAATCTCATATAGTTAATAATCCAGATCTCTGATTTGATAATTATGCACAAATATGTAGTTTTATTATTATCCCAAAATGTCTATTTTCAGGCACAAACAAGAAACAACCAATATCATAATCACATCACAACAGACTTAATTTTCTCCTTTCCCAACATTACAGTATAATCACCAGAGTTTTTCGGACACATGTATCAACCTATATCCCATTACATTTTAACCTCATTCCTATTACAGTCAGTGTAGTTTCAGTCTAGTCTCAGTTCTGGAGACTATAACTAAGGTTATGTCTACACTACGAAATTAGGTCAATTTAATAGAAGTCGATTTTTTAGAAATCGATTTGATACAGTCGATTGTGTGTCCCCCCACTAAGCGCATTAAGTTGGCGGTGTGCGTCAACAGTACCGAGGCTAGCTATCCCACAGTTCCCGCAGTCTCCGCCACCCATTGGAATTCTAGGTTGAGCTCCCAATGCCTGATGGGGCAAAAACATTGTCATGGGTGGTTCTGGATACATGTCATCAGGCCCCCCTCCCTCCCTCTCTCCCTCTCTGAAAGCAATGGCAAAAAATCGTTTCTGGCCTTTTTTCCTGGGTTACCCGTGCAGATGACATACCATGGCAAGCATGGAGGCCACTCAGCTCACTGTCACCGTATGTCTCCTAGGTGCTGCTGGCAGACATGGTACTGCAGTGCTACACAGCAGCATCCCCTTGCCTTGCCTTGCCTTGCGGAGGGCAGAAGGTGCAATAAGACTGCTAACCGTCGTCATCGTCGTCCCGTGGGTGCTCCTGGCCGGCCTCGGTGAGGTCGGTCAGGGGCGCCTGGACAAAAATGGGAATGACTCCAGGTCATTCTCTTCTTTAAGTTTCGTCTAATGGAGATTCAGTCCTGCCTGGAATATCATGCCAGCTGGAGGCTTCTGCCTCAGGCTGATTTCCCAGTCGGCAGCACCGCGCGGTCGCACCTACCCCAGCCTACCTCTTGTTCCCATGGCTCATGAAGCCTGGACAGTAGTAAGGAGCAGTTCAACTATAGGCTGAGCAAGTGCATAATGGTGGTAGAATGTGCCTTTGGACGTTTAAAAGCTCACTGGCGCAGTTTACTGACTCGGTTAGACCTCAGTGAAACCAATGTTCCCATCGTTATTACTGCTTGCTGTGTGCTCCACAATATCTGTGAGAGTAAGGGGGAGACATTTATGGTGGGGTGGGAGGTTGAGGCAAATTGCCTGGCCGCTGATTACGCGCAGCCAGACACCAGGGCAGTTAGAAGAGCACAGCAGGGCGTGCTGTGCATCAGAGAAGCTTTGAAAACCAGTTTCATGACTGACCAGGCTACAGTGTGAAAGTTCTGTTTGTTTCTCCTTGATGAAAACCCACCCCCTTGGTTCACTCTACTTCCCTGTAAGCCAACCGCCCTCCCCTCCCCACTTTGATCTCCACTTGCACAGGCAATAAAGTCATTGTTGTTTCAAATTCATGCCCGGGAGGGGTGGAGGAGGAGGGAAGCACAGGGGTGGGGTAGTTGTAGGGGCACCCCCTAGAATGGCATGCAGCTCATCATAGAAGCGGCACGTCTAGGGCTCTGACCCAGAGCAGCCGTTTGCCTCTCTGGTTCTTTGGTAGGCTTGCCTGAGCTCCTTAAGTTTCACATGGCACTGCTGTGGGTCCGTGTTATAATCTCTGTCCTTCATGCCCTTGGAGATTTTTTCAAATATTCTGGCATTTCATCTTTTGGAACAGAGTTCGGATAGCACGGATTCGTCTCCCCACACAGCGATCAGATGCAGTACCTCCCTTTCGGTCCATGCTGGAGCTCTTTTGCGATTCTGGGACTCCATGGTCACCTGTGCTGATGAGCTCGCCACACTGGCCAAACAGGAAATGAAATTCAAACGTTCGCGGGGCTTTTCCTGTCTACCTGGCCAGTGCATCTGAGTTGACAGTGCTGTCCAGAGTGGTCACAATGGAGCACTCTGGGATAGCTCCCGGAGGCCAATACCACACTACCCCAAATTCGACCCAGCAGGGTCCATTTCAGCGCTAATCCCCTCGTCGGGGAGGAGTACAGAAATCGATTTTAAGAGCCCTTTAAGTCGACAAAAATGGCTTCGTCGTGTGGACGGATGCAGGGTTAAATCGATCTAACGCTGCTAAATTCGACCTAAACTCGTAGTGTAGACCAGGGCTAAGTAACATCAATCATATTTAAATAGGCACTTCAAAGGATTTATGAGAGTGCTGTTACAGAGTTATATCCTCAGCTCTAACAGGTACAGCCTGAGATGTCCTTTGCTTGCTCATGCTATCTTTGTTTTCACTAAAACAATGCTTCTTTCAGAGAAAGAAACAGTAGCTTTTCTACTCTTCCACAGAAACAAGTCTCCAATATCATCATCCTTTTCAAAGCTCCTGTGAAGACACTAAAATCAAACTGGGGGTTTGATATTCTCATATACATTTCCTTGGTTTAAAGAGATTATTCTCTCAAACTCATAAGCAGGACTCCTATACATTGTACTATGCAGGTCAGAAGCTATTTACAGTATCATTCAGTTGGCTGGCAAAGACAGTTGTCCAGGCTTGGGTACAACCCTACATGTAACATGGACACCAACACCATAAGGACAGATGTTAGTGCCAAGTCTCATGTGGCCTTCTTGATGGCAGTTGTATCGCCTACTAGAAGAAAGCAGCAATTGGTGCACATATTACAGAACTCCAACCATTACTGCCCTCATCTAATGTCTTGATAAGCCAACAAAGGGGACTGGTTTGCTTTTTTTAAGCCCTCTTATTTGAAGTACAAATGAAAAGCCTTAATTCACCTAAATAGAAAAATAAATCTCAACACACTCAGAGGCTTCACACAATGAAGATTCTGGAAAAGCTTGTCCTGAATCATCAAGACAAACCCATGGGAACATTTCAGCCCGCAGGTATTGATGAAAGTCGTGATTTAGTCTATGGAAAAATATTTGGTGCTCCAGCTGAGCAATTTGGAGAAAGAAAACCCTTCAGCCAAGAATGCTTTTACTCAAAAACTCCTCTCTGGTTTGTTTCGAAGATCTTCCAAGTGAAGATTTGAACTCATCACTCTTTTCTCCAGTCAAATGACTGGCCAAATCTAATGCAGAGAACATGGGTATAAACGTCTTCTAAAGGATGTGTGAGTTCTGTTCAAATAAAGCTTGACTACAAAATACTGCCTGATGTATTTTTTACTCAACTTCAATTTCATACACCATCCAGAAAGTAACACTGGATGGAGAACTGATAAATGACCCTAAAATCCAACTATTTGTAAAATTTGCTGAGACTACAAAAAGGAAGTTAAAAGTAGTTATTTATTTTTTAAAAAGACAAAGTAAAAATGAAAAAATGTTTGCCTTACCCTAACTTTGCAATGTGATAGCAGTCCCCACATTGGCTGGGCACAGGCTTCCAGTTCAGCAGCAAATGCAGCATAGTAGGTCTGTGATTCAAACTCCACATGCTCATTTAATTCTCGCTTATTTAAATTCATACCTTAAAAGACATAAGCAGTGTTATACAACAGTATCTTTGTCTACCATTAAGTGGAATTTAGTATTTTTTTAAACTATACACACTTACACATATGCATACCTATATAGGGAGATGATATCCATGCAATAAGTTTCAGAACGTGTGATCAATTGTACCTAAGTATCCACAAGATTAAGGATTTGAACTGAGCAGAGACCTTGAAAGTTGACTAGAAAGAGATCATTTGAGTAGAGAAAGTCTGGCCATGTTAGGCTAGCAACTCAAACACCCATGCTGAGTAGACACGTGATCTGAATTGGGCCCCTTTTAGTCTCAACTTCAAATCAATCAATGAGAATCTTTAAATTGACTACAAAATTTTGGATCTTTCCATAGAGGAAGCATGCTTTCCACTATGCAAACATTCAGGGAAAAACAAATCAATAAAAAATCCCCCACGCGTTTCCACATGTTAATACAAAGAATACTTAAATACGTCAAGTTCATTTTCCCTAGTATTGAGTTTAGGGCTTTGACACTGAAACATATTTCTATCAAAGTAATAACTTACACTGTTAGTACAACTTCTTGAGAACTTTGGCAGTGTGTAACCCAGTGCATTTTACTCAACCCCTCTGTGCCTGATCAACATGGGCTACATGGGTCTGTTAGAGCTTTATCTCCAAAGCCTAACATTTTAATTCAAGCCGTAAGAGACTCATGCTTTGAGCTCTGGAGATCCTCAGCTGCCATGATACAAGTTGGGGCTTATCCAGAATTCAAATCATGGTGGGTCTCAAACACTTGAGACAAGTTTCCCTGATCAGAAGTAGTATGTAACCCACCAGTCAAATGTATTACGCATTCCCTGGTGTGCCCCAATCCACAAGGGATACAAACCTATTACAGTTCTCATTTTGAGACCCTGCCCTCTTTAGTTCAAGCTATAGAAACTAATGCGTTTTAGATCTCGGACGTCTCTGGTTCAACGCCTGGTATTGGTCAAGATGTCAGTTGTCACAATTGCACCTCAGAAGTGCTTAATGCCTTTACATGTTCAGCCTTTGTGTCTCATCAGTTGGCATTTCAGAAACAGAATTCTTTTGGCTTGAGTAATTTAGAATAAACTATCCACTTCCAGAAATTTGCATCAGATTAATAATGAACACGCTAATGGATTAAATATTTATATATAAGGGTGTGTAAGGTGTATGTTATTGTAAACATTGTGCCACCTTTAAAAATTCTTGCTTAAGTACAGGAAAGAAAAGATTTGAAATTAGGCATATCCCAAAAAAGGTATTTATAATCACTGAATAAGAAAGCTAAAAGCCACCTACCTTGAAAGAATGATACAAAATTCATCCAAGTTACTAACAGACTATGATCCTCCAGGAATTTCTTAGCCACACTTTGGTGTGAAAGGATATTAATAAAATCACTAACAAGTGGCCAGTAAGTATTATTCTTTAATAGTGCTTCCCCGCAGTTCACTACGACATGTAAACTGTTTTCTTCATCTAGGAAAAAAGCGATTAAAAAAAACCCATCACAATGTTTTTTAAAGAAAAAATATAGTAACTACCACAGTGAACAATTAAAAGAATCAGGGTTTAAAAACAATTATAGCATGCACAGCATATGGCTGTAAAGAACTATTACTTACCTTATAGCAACGATTGTTCTTCAAGATCTTGTCATCTGTGTGGATCCCATTCTAGGTATACATGTCCCCCACTTGCGCGAGATTGGAATCTGAATAGTAGTGGCTGTTGGGCCATGCCTGCACTGCACATGTCCTTGTGCCCTGCCTTTCTAGAGCATAAACGGCATAGCAGTAGCAACTATTGCTCAGTCACCTTGCTAATTTAAAATCTCACCTAAAGAGGACTCCAAAAAAGCAGAGATGGAGGGGCAGCTTGTGACACTGACACACACACACACACACGCGCTCCTCCAAGAACCAAAGTTACTAGAAGGTAAGTAACTGTTAATTCTTCATGTGTCCATATGGCTCTCACTGAAGGTGACTAATGAGCAGTGCTCCATCTGGACATGTGACTGAGGAGTCCCAACTTTCACTAACTAACTGATTATTGTAATACTGCCCTACCAAAATTGGCATCTGACCTCATGGCCAGGACCAGAGCATAATGTTTAACAAAAGTCAGGCATTACTCTAAGTAGCTGCCTTGCAGATTTCAGACATAGGGATGTTTCTAACAGACCTGACTGGAGGACAAGCCCATATTACAGCAACTTTCAAAGTTTGTATTCATTCTGCAGTGGAACATTTTCATGAAAACAAAGTTGATACAAAATGTCCTTTTTCAGACCGAAACCAGAGAGAAAGAGAGACAAAGAGAATGCGTACATACTGCCTAAGACCTAGGAGATCCAGGTACAAGTTCCAGATGTGCCTGATTCAGAGGAGAGTTTTTCCATCCCTGATCACTCTGAATCCCACCTTGAACCCCACATCCAGGACAAGTGCCATAGCCACCAGGCAAGTGAGTGAGAGAGAGAGAGACTCTCCCCATTTCCCACACAAACTCACACACACGCTTCCTCCCCAATGAAAATTTTGTCAAAAGCAATATGTTTAAACAAAACAGTATATTTTGGTGAAATTTCGTTTAGTCAAAAATGTTCCAACCAGCTCCAGTTTCTAAAGCATGCAGAGGAGGCAGTTTGCACTCTAGGGAAATGGAGCTTTGATGTTTGGAAAAAGAGGTGTATGAGACATGCCTTTGATTAGCAACTCTCGAGATATGGCTCAATGTGAATGCCGCGTCTCCTCAGGTGCACTGCCATCACAACTAGGTATTTAGTGAAGACTATTGGTACTGTGGAGAGAACAAGTTGTAGCACTTTGTAGTGATATGATTGGGCCCTACGAGGAATTGCAGGTTCTTCCTATGGGCCAAGTGGATCACAATATGGAATTATACATCTTGGCGGTTGTGACGCTTCTCAGGGTTATGGCCAGGGTTGTGCAGCACCTCGTCACCACCCGTCCTTAGCTCACCCCAGTATCTCCTCCAGCATTAAACAGCCAGACCGGCTCTGTGCCTCTATTTATATAACAAGCCTGCTGACAGCTTGCCTTTAGGTGAAGTATACCTGGGTGTATCTCTGTAGCCCCAGACATAATTCCAACAATCTGTTGTCTTCACTTGGAAACAGGGTACCTTCTGCTACTTGTCTTTCCCGTAGTGAATCTCCCCTGGAGACTTTGCAATCTCTTGATTAGCATTTTGCTCAGTCTGTAAATAGGCATTCATTGCAAAGTATATAATATTAAGTTTACATATAGCCACGTCAAGTTTCTTTCAGGTGGGAGATGCTTATCATCACCTTTTGGTGACCAGTCCCAACTCACAGACCTTAAGAGCATAATTTTCAGGAAAGAAGGATGGAGTGAGAGAGAACCTTACATATTATCTGTACATACATTTCATAAGGATTATGATAATCAGTGTGACACAAACTTTTGGTAGAGACCTTACATAACCCCCCTTTAACAAATTATTATATAGGGAGAAGACCCAAAGGATCGCTGTGCCCACTGCCAGTTGGCATCAAGAAGTCCCTGGGTGACAGAGGTCAAGAGCCACAAACCAGTCTTGTGCCTGAAAAGAAGGGCTGAATTTAAGACTGTGTATAAATTTGTTCAGTCTTCTCAGGTCTAGAATAGCTAACAAAGTATCAGGAGCAGGGGCCTCTTTCCCTGAACTTTAGAGGTAACTCCTCCGTGGCTCCTAGGCAAAGAAGGATACCCACTTTTTTTAATTGATTATAAGAAGGGTCTCTGAAGACGGATAGTGAAGGGGAATGGGTAGGGGGCCATGGACTGGAATTGGATGGAATATCCATGTGAGACAACTTCCAGCACACATGTCTGTTATTCCAGTCCAAGCCAACCAGCACCTCAAGGAGGAGGTCTGGGCATAGCCCTTGCCCGATCTGAGTGTGGCTCTCAAATCTCATGACAAACCTGCTGTCTGGAAGCAAGTGTAGTCTGGTTAGTGACTAAGGAAGATGACAGTCTCATACAAGATTACCTCGGCTTCTCCCTGGATGGTTACTCAGAGGACTATTGTGGGTAGCTGGGTGTCTTCTGTCTAGTCTCCCTTGCCCCTGATATTTAAAGGGCCTGTGAATGGGGCAGAGGTGTAAATGCCTAGTGAGCCAAGTATCTAGTATCTGGTGTCTTTTTAGGGTGCATAGTGCATCATTGGTACATATGGTGAGTAAGTCTGTACACTCGAAGGACAAGTCCTCAATTGTATTCTCTACCTCCCTAGGGATGAAAGAAACCTGTAACCATGATGCTCTGCACACAATCACCACAACAGCCAGGGATTTAGCTGCCACATCCAATGCATCCATGGCTGTCTGTAAAAGAGGCCTTTGCCATTGGTTGTCCTTCAGTAATAATGGCTTTAACGTAGAGTACTGAGGGAGTTTGGCCAGAAAGGGAGATACAACTATCTGACCTAGGGCAGAGTTATTTGACAAACAAAGTTTGACAGTTACCTACTTGTAGCTGGAGTGATGCTGACAAATAAGCCTTCCTTCTAAAGAGAGTTAATTTATTTGGGTCCTTAGGAATGTTCTTGGACAGTTTGGTTATCAGTCTTTTGGGGGACTGGTCTTCCTTTCCACTCTTTTAGCATTTAGAGGCAATGTGGCTGGCATCTGCCATAGAATTTTAGCTGATTCTAAGATGCCCTCATTAATTTGCAATGCTAGTCTGGCAGAAGAGGAGGAATGCAATATGTCAAACAGCTTGTAAGCTTTTTCTTCAATTGTTGAGGTTTCTATTTCAAAGGTCTCAGCTAAACGAGAGAGCATCTCCTGAAAAGCTCCAAAGCAGGTATGGGAGTCAAGGAAAATGCCTCATCGGGACTATGAAAGATGTTCCCGAAGCTCAAGACATGCCAGTTCCTCCTCTGTCAGCTGTACTTGTTCCTCCCTGTCTTCAGATGGGATTCTGGCAATTGCTGCAGAATGGGAGCATGACCTTCTGCATTTTCTTGAGTGATAGGAGGGAATTAGGTTCCAAGATGCTCTAGACAGAAGTCCCCACTATGCCCAGCAGGGACAAGGGAGAATAGGATAAGGCTGGTTTTGGTCAGACTAGTTAGGCCACTGTCATTCCTGAGATGGATAAGTCAGAAATCTGGAGTGCCCTGATTGTAGAGAGAGACTTTCTCCTGATCTGTGTGAATGGCGAGAAGATTCTCTGCTGTAAGAGAGGTGTGTCCCGGAGATGAAGAAGAGTAGACTGCCTCCAAAGATAAGACTGATTTTTGAGGTGACCTCAGTACCATGAGGTCAGAGACTCATATCGACACTGAGTGCAGTGCCATTGGTGCCAGAAATATAGGTACCTCCTCTAACATTAGATTGGACAGTACCATTAATGTGTCAATGCTGGTACTGGGGCCAGCAGTTTGTGGTTGCCAGCACTGTCAGATATAAGGCACCCTCAGTGCCTACATATCTTCAGTATAAGCTAGAAGTTGAACCAGCATCACTTGGCTCCTGTCACACCAGCAGACCAAGTGCTCAGTTCCTCAGAGGAGAGTAAGGGCTTAAGCATCTCCTCATAGGAAGAGAGTGTTTTCATATCTCCCTTGCTTTAGTAAGGAGGCGGTAGCGGTTTTGGGTGCTGAAGTAATAGCTGGGACCAATATGGTCAGATGGTCCCAGATCCTTGACAGACAGTGCCATGGATTTTTTTGCCAGTACCAGCATTAAGTGTTGTAGCTGGCTAACAAGGGCACTGGCTAACTGGGACTTAGACATGACCAGTCCCATCTTAGAGGTCAAGGCCTGTTCTTCAGGGTCTGAAGTCTCTTTCATTGATTGTCCAAGAAGATTCAACTTCAGCAGAACATCTCTGGATTTTCTTGTGCCAGTAGAAAACAGCACATAGGGCAACAGTCTCGTACATGGTTCTCATCAAGACAAAAAATGCCTGCTGTTGTGACAGTTTGTAAGCAGAATGAGTCTGTCACAGGACTGGCACTGTTCGAAACCTGAGCGCTTTGAATCTGTTATTGTAAGCAAAGATATTTTTTTTAAAAAACAATCTTTAAGGCGGGGGTGGGTGGGGAGGGGAAATAAAATTAAAAAGGGGGAGTTTGTTGAGAATTATGCCTCGCTAATTAGCCAAAAGAGAAGAATATTCCACTAAGGGGTAGTGAACAAACACCTTGTTCTGTCTCACTGCCACAGACAGTAAGAGGGAACTGAGGGACAGCTGCAGCCACTCTGCCCTGTATACCCTTTGGGTTGGGGCATTCATGAGAACTCACAGGGCACATGAGCAGCCCAAGGGACACAGCTATTCAAAGATTCCAGTCTCACATGCATGAGGCACATGCACACTTAGAATGGGATCCATGCTGACACACACTCAAAGAACCACCAATGTTTCTCACAGTCTTTCATAACAGTACCCACTACATTAAAAAAAAAAAAAAAGGCTGGAAAAATAAAGAAAAAGCTATGTATAATTTTGCCCAACTATTTCAAGAGCAGTTCTTCCTAGCTTGAAAAGCATGTCTTCTTTAAATCAAAGTATTATATTAGATAAGGTGTCCAATCTGTAGCCCTCAAGAGCAACTTTGTTAGGAAAATTTGTATTGCATTATAAACTGAAAGTGTTCCTTGAGCCATGCCTGGCAATTTTAAATGGTAGTATGTGAATCAGCCCTTTTGCTACAGGGAGCTAGTAGGGGACACCACTTCCCTAACTGCCTCCTGTCCCTTTTCTCTGCAGTACCAGAAGCAGCATAGAGCAGGGAGCACTCGTATCAGCAGCTTTCCCACTGTCTACTTGCTGCTTTACAGGGGAGGGAAAGAGTAGTTCTGGTCACTCCACTGCCTACATCCCTGACAGGCTGTGACTGCACAAGAAAGAGCAGGATATAAACTCAACTGGCTCTGCCTGAACCTAGTTCTGAAAAGTTAGGGGCTAAACTCAAAAAACAGAAGATTAAACATTCAGTACAAGTCTCTTGTTTGATATTATTAATGAAAACAAGAATTCAACTTACCTTGCAGCTCACTTTTAATAAGACAACTTTCCATCATATATAATAGGACAGTGACCATAATATCCAACAGTTGACATTCTTCTGTCACTTGACGTGCTAGCTCTTCATTGCTGAATAACTGAACACTGATGTGCACAATTCTATTAGACATAGTGTCCGATTCATGGCTTTTCTTCAGTGTTTTCATAATAAAAGCATAATGCTGAACAAAAGTTTTAGTAAAGGCAATCTGCAAATTTAAAAATAAAAAGAATTTTAATATTACAATAGTTATAGTTCCTCTTATTTCAAAAAATTTATTCTCAAACATACAATCAGTATTTCAGAGAAACATCAGATTTATCACAACAGATCAAAAATCAGTGGTCCATCTTATCCAATATCCTGCTTCAGAGGAAGGTGCAAGAAATCTCACAATGGAATATCCTGCCCTTCTCAACCTCCATCTTATATAATTGCATGTGTTCTCATTACCCATATAAACAACTCATCTTTTTTAATATCTTGGTTCTTATGACTGAACCTTTAATTGTAGCATAACTGTTCACTTACAGAAGGAACTAATCTAATCCTACAAAACTCTTGCTATCAATATCTTCTGACAATGGGTTCCACAAGCCAATTAAACATTGTATAAAAACTCATTCCTACTAGTTTTAAAACTCATTCCTACCAGTTTTAAATTTGCCATCTTTTCCATTAGATAGCCCCTTGTTCTTGTATTCTGAAAAGGATAAACAGGAGCTTCCAACTTAGCTTCTCTACCATTCATTGTTTTATATATTTCTATAATATCTTCTATTGGTAATCTCTCTAAACTAAATAAACAGGACTAATGTTTTCAATATTTCCTCATCAGGAAGTCTTTCTGTGACTTTAATTTTCTTTCCCTGTCACTAGATCCCAATATTTTCTTCTAGAACCTTTTCCAGATAGGATGACCAGAAATGAACAAAGTATTCAAGTTGAAAGTGTACCACTGATTTAATTAATGGCAATATTAAAATTTCAAGACTATTATTCAGTATTACTATTATTATAATATTCTATCTATTATCATGATATTCTAACATCATGCTTGATTTTTTAACTGCTGCTGCACATACAGCAACTGTTCTCACTGAGTTGTCCACAATGTCATCCAGGTCTTTCTCATAGATGGTTTCAGTTAAGATGGAGCTGCAGTGTATATAAGCAGTTCATATTATTTACCAACATTGAATTTCATCTGCCATCATGGCTTCCCATATATTTTCTTTGCTAGGTCCCTCTGTGGTTCCTTTATTGCCTTCTCTAGTGCCAGAGGATGTTGTGAAGGCCAAAACTATAACAGGGTTCAAAAAAGAACTAGATACATTCATGGAGGATAGATCCATCAATGACTATTAGCCAAGATGGGCAGGGATGGTGTCCCTAGCCTCTGTTTGCCAGAAGCTGAGAATGGGCGACGGGATGGATCACTTGATTACCTGTTCTATTCATTCCCTCTGAATCACCTGGCTTTGGCCACTGTCAGAAGACAGGATACTGGGCTAGATGGACCTTTGGTCTGACCCAGTATGGTGGTTCTTATGTTCTAGGTTTGATTGTCCTAAATAATTCTATCATCTACAAAGGTTTACCTCGTCATTGTTAAACTTTTTTTTCCAGATCAGTAATTAATATATTGAAACAATATCAGTCATAGTACGGCTCCTTGGGGCACTCCACTATTAACGTTTCATCATGTTATAAACTGACCTTTTATTTATACTTTTGTCTTTTAGCCAATTTTTAATTCATTTCAAATTTCCAACTTAAGTGCTACTGCTGTTCTAAACTACCACCATATGGACTTGCTTAGTCTGAAGAGATGAGATAATGCAAGCTGTCTTGGTGATGACAGAAAATTTTCAGCTCAAGAACTAAAATCCCAAGTCTAGTCTAAAACTTGTCCTTTGAACGTGTTAAGTCTTTCTGGAATATAAAGTAGGCATTTTAAGGCTACCTTTAAGCCAACTGTGGCTTCCATGGTCTGAGACTACAAAATCACTACTTCACTTTATCCATGTCTGTCCACACCCTGAAATACATGGCCCATTTTTATTAAGAGCACTGCAGTTTGCTACTTTTATCTGAACTGATTCTCCACAATACTGTGAAGCATAAAGGGACCATAAACAGCTCTCAAGGAACCCTACACACACCCCAGAATAAAAGTAAGCCCAGAGAAGCGGACATGTCTGGAGTACACTGTGCTTTGATTATTCTTGGCTGGAGGATGGCCTACAGATACCATTCAAGCCAGAACATAAATTACAGTGGATGAGACTATATTTCTGCAGGAATGAAAAAAGAGAATCTAGCCTTATTAGAGAGACAAGGTGGGGGAGATAATAACTTTTAGAGACAACAGAAGTTGGTCCAATAAAAGACATTATCTCACTCACCTTGTCTCTCCAATATCCTGGGACCGACGCGGCTACAACACTGCATAAAATCTATCCCTATAGCATTCAGTGGGCCAAAGAGCACCAGCAGAGGACCATATAAAATTAAGTCAGAAGAGAGTAAGCATAGGTAATCAAACTGATTCTTCTGTTGAAAGCCAAATAACTGACTCCTGACATTCCTATCCAAACTTAGGGTGGATTTATACAGAGAGGGTTACTCTTGAACTATCTATGCTCTACAGAGTTTATTTCCATTTAAGAACTTTATTTCTTGTGGTACTGTACAGCAATAAGAAACTGAACTAATTGGTGATCTTGTGGTCAAGATATTAGACTAGATGCAGAATATCTGGTTTAAATTACCAGTTGTATCAGACACTTCTCTCTGTGCCTCAATTCCCCATCTGTAAAAGGTAGGTAATCCTTCCTTTCTCCAATAGCTTGTAAATTCTTTAGGCAGGACTGTCTCTTACGACATTCATTTAACATTTAAAAAAAGGAAAAACTGGTACAATTCAATGACTGAACTGAGCTAATATGTAGTATACAACTTCACAGAATAACTTTGCAATCTTCACCATTCCTTTCCCTTCACTTGTGTCTCTTGTTACATCAGATCTAGTAGGACTCCTAAGCTCCTTGGGACAGGATCTGTATGTTACTTGTTTTGTAAAGCACTAGAACTGGTTTTTAAATGGTGGTTTCCTCCCTGCAGAAGATTTCCTCTTTTTGTCCCAAAAACACAATCTGAACAAACTTGGTTTTCTGATTTCCTAAAATTTGAGGAAAGTAGACACTTTCTGCAAAAATATAATTAGGTCAAAAACCCAATTTTCTGCCAAAAATAAGTTTGATTTAAAAAAAAAAAAAAAAAAAAAGTGACCACGCCTACCTGACACACTTCAGGTGCTGTAGAGATAATAAGGCATAATGTTCTGCTTCCAAAAGTCATTAGTTAACACACATTAAAATTAGTAGGTCTCAACAACAGCAGATATTCTTTCACAATAAAGATGCTGAACCAAGTCATTTCTTATAACCAGATGAGATACGAGTTATTATTTATTCCTTAGTTTATTATAGGTGGCATAGGTAAAAATGTCTATAGTTAAGCCTGACACTTTTCAAGAGATTTTAAATTAGCAACAGAGGATTGAGGAAACCTAATTAAAAACTATATAAAGCAGTCAAGCTAATTTTTATCATAGAAAAAATATTGTATTAACACATCCTCCTGCCACAAGAATTACATGCACTGGACCTTTAACTGAACTAGTTCTAAAGAGTATATTAACAGTAACAAAATATCTTAGGAGCAGATGTCTCTTCCCCATCCTAAATGTCTGATGTCTAAGGAAACTTGGGGGGTGCGGGAGAGAGGGGTGTAGAGAAACAGTTTGTTGATATTGCTCTTGCTCCAAGACTGGAAACTAAAACTGTGAAGGCTTGTAGGTATCTTCTCTTCAGAGAGCTAGACCTTATAAAGTCTAACAAAGCTTATGAGCTATAAAGGAAATAGCCAAAACAACAAAACAAACACAATACTCTGGCTCCTGAAGGAATTTTCAGAACGGAATTATTTAGCCAACCTGTTCTGTCCACATCTCCTTCCATGTATTGTACGGCTCTGGGCATACCAACAAACCCTCAAATAATAAAAGAACACAGGGTTTGTTATATTAATGATTTATATCAACCATATGTGTACTCATGCAAGATGCAATACAAGTCGAAAGTAAGTGAGTAAAGGAAATTGTTTTGGGAGGGAAGGCGGGCATGCAAATACCTTATAATCTTGATCTGGTAGCATGTTGAGTAAGAAAGTTACCATCTTTTGTGGAAATTCATATTTTATTGTCCAAAATAATAATTCTTCAAGAAAACATTTATGCTTTAAAACATCCATGATGGACTGATCTGCATAAAAAGTAGGAGAACGGGGGGGGAGGGGGAAGACTTCAGAATGACTTTAGGTTTTGTAAAGGACATTCCAACCTTAGTTTATTAATATTCTATTTAACTTACTAGATGCAAATATCTAAGAATCAGGAACATCTTAATGCTACCATCCTGCTAATGTTGATAAAAGGGTTTTTTAACACTTGAGGAAAAAAGTTAGTTATCACCAATACTGTATAGAGTATATGCTTGAAATGGTTTCATGTATAGAACTCCTGCAGTCATCAATGGAAGTCCTCAGTACAAATCAGATGCAGAATCAAGCCCTTATACAGAACCCAATCTATCAGCCTTACACTGGGTATTGACTTACTCTGCAAATAGTTACATTGGGCCAGACCTTCAGCTGATGGAAATTGTCATAGTTCCAGTGACTTCAACTGAGCTACAACAATTTATACAAATTGAAGATTTAGTCATTGACTTCAGTGGGATTACTGATGGAGTACAGTAATATTCAACAGGAGCAAGTGTGGCAGAATCTGACCCACACTAATTGAATGTTAAAACTGTGACATAAATTAGGTGTAATTCCTAAAAACATATGTGATCTGTTTGCAAACTTTTAAAACCTTTAAATAAAATGTAACACTTACATAATATTTTAATTCTTCAAATCAATTTACATACAAATAATACATTCTCAAAACAATCTTGTGAAGTAGGCAAGTATTATCCCAACTCTATAAAATGAAAAAAAAAGATAAATAAAGCAGCTTTTCCAAAAATTATAAACCAAGTTAGTAGTAGAACAGGTATCAAAACCCAGTTTATCTCAACTCCCAGACTCATTATGAGTCTACTAGATCACACAGTGTCTTCACTGTCCTTCAAAGCTGTAATACTTACTATTCACAGATAACATAACCTGGCCACTCCTACAGCATGGAGAGATTTATGCAAATATAACCCTCCTGTACCTATTGGAGTCAACCGGGCTAGGGGAAAAGGTATCTTGCCCCAGAGGAGGGCAAGCAGCAATAATGCCACCTCTCCCCCAGAGAAGGCAGAGATAAATTCCAACTGGCTCCCCCAAATCAGGGCAGGCAGTGCAAGAAATGCTGAATCAGTGCATCTCCTGGCCTGGCACTGTTCCCCACCCCTCCAAGCCAGACCCAATCATCTTGTGGAGTGTATTGGATGACTTTTGGCCCAACGGTGAAGGGGGATTTGCTAGCATTTTGTGCCACTTTGCCTGCTCCAGGTGAACTTACCACCAGCAGAGCCAACATTCCACAGTCACATGCCAGTGGTGGACTCTGACCACTATGTTAGAATTTTCAGGAATTGTTAAAATATCACAAGAAATATGAATTTAAACTTGAGAGGCATTTTCATGAGGAGTCTCTTTTTCTAATCCAAACAAAGAAAAAAAAATCTATGTTCTGGAAGCGTGATATCAGAGAATTGATTTTTACCTCTCTTAATCCTGAATATTCCATCAAAAATCACCAGTCACTTACTACAGCAAGCATGCAACAATAATTTAGGGTCTCATCCTCCTCCCTTTTAAAAAGATGTGTGTATGAATTTACTACTGATTAAAGATGCAAGCTTGACAGCCATGCAGATTGAAATCATCCATCTGCACAACAGACCCAATGATTACGAGAAGTAATGCTTCCGCTCTATTCCGGGCTGATTAGGCCCCAAATGGAGTAGTGTGTCCAGTTCTGGGCACCACATTTCAGGAGAGATCTGGACAAAAGCGGGAAAGTCCAGAGAAGAGCAACTAAAATGATTAAAGGTTTAGAAAACATGACCTATGAAGGAAGATTGAAAAAAGTGGGTTTGTTTAGTCTGGAAAAGAGAAGACTGAGAGGGAACATGATAACAATTTTCAAGTGCATGAAAGGTTATTACAAGAAAGAGGGAGGAAAAATTGTTCTTCTTAGCCACTGTGGATAAGACAAGACGCAATGGGCTTAAACTGCAGCAAGGGCGGTTTAGGTTGAACATTAGGAAAAACTTCCTAACTGTCAGGGCAGTTAAGCACTGAAATAAATTGCCTAGGGAGGTTGTGGAATCTCCATCATTGGAGATTTTTAAGAGCAGGTTAGACAAACACCTCTCAGGGATGGTCTAGATAATACTGAGTCCTGCCATGAGTGCAGGGGACTGGACTAGAACTAGATGACCTCTTGAAGTCCCTTCCAGTCCTATGATTCTAGGTACACTTCAGATATTCTAATATGTGGACACCAATAATGTATGCTGTTCACACACACTCATTATCCACTGCTGAAGTGCAGCTTCCTCAGACCAGAAACATGGCAGTTTAACGGTGCATAACAACTCTATACAACAGCCTGAGGACAGGGAGGGACCACCACCAGATCCAATTTTACCTGCTGAAGAATTTAGAAAGAGAGCTCTTATCCAAGTTTGTCTAGGACATCAAAGCGATTACTCCTATGCTTGTGAAAAGTATTATGCAATTTTTTTATAAATAAAAAAAAAATAGTGTCTATAGGGTTGAAAATGTCTTATAAATTAGATAGTTTAGATGGACGAGTGTTTTAGAAACAGCAAAACAAAACAAAGAGAAAAGAACAATTTTATAATACGCTGCTCAATACCCAAACCCACATTTTGTACCGAAGTGTCACCTGAGTCTTTTAAATCTTCTTTTTATTTTTCCCTATCACCACAAAAGAATAAATTTATAGCTGTTGAAAACTCTTCTCCTGGGATATCAGTGTTAGTATGCCAAAGTATCACGAATGCATAGCCTGCTGTGAAGACAGTACCATTAAAGATCTATGCTGGGGCAGGGAATCTGCTTTTATGAAGAGGTAAAATCTGTTTTTATTCAATACTCAGTTTTCTAAAATTTTCTTTTAATACTCTTATTTTATACCCTATAGGTCATAAAATACGAATACTGAAAACTTCAGAAAACTATGTAATATTTAATAAAAACAGAAACTTACCTTTCCCCCACTGGCAGACTCCCTCCTCTGGGGCTGACATTAGGAGCTATCAACATCACCAGCACAGTCCATGTTGAGATGCCTCAGAGAGGGGGAGACTACAAGCCTGGGGGAAACGAAAGGTTTAATTAAAAGCATCATTTTGCTGAAATGCCTTAAACGATGTCCATTTAGGCATTTGACAGCTTCTAGGCCTGAATTTCCTGCCCCACAATAGAAGTTCACTTTTATTAAGGAAACTGCATTATTTCTAGAGTCCTGAGGATTTTACTTTATCTTTTAGGAACTTCGGTTAAACTGTAAAGACTCATAGAAGTGTCTTAACTAGCGACTTCTCTGCTTTTGTGTCTTGTCTCTGAAAAGCAAACTATGGTTTTCTTATAACATTTCAATATATTTCCTAAATTTTAATTGCCAATTACAAAAATTGCCATTGTTAAAACTATAGTTATGTCTTCTTTTCTAGCCTCTCTATCTCTATTCTGCCCAGTATATGTGAAACACCGTAAATTATAATTTTCATCTCCCACCATCACAACTCCTTCAAATCTCTGTGTTCACTTCCTGTACCTTTCCATTTCAAATTCAAACTCCACATCCTCACTTTCAAGTCTTTCCAAAGCTTTGTTCATGCCTTCATTACTGTTTTCCCTGCAGATATTCCCTTCTTATGCCTTGTGGCTACCCAGTGCTATCTTCCTGTCTTGTCACACCTACAAGTAATGGTATAATGTAATTTTAAAGAAAGGGAGGCATTTGTCTCTTGAAAATATCAGTATGGAAGGCATTAACAATTGCCATTAGCACCTTTTCAGAACAACGAACCTAACAACAAAAAGCATAAGACATGGATATTCTCCCACCTCCAATCCCCAAAGGGCTAAATCCTGATGTACTTTGTCAGTCATTCTTCAGATAAAACTCTCATTGACCTCAGTGGGAATTTTGCTTAAATTGGACTAGACATTGCAGGATGTGGCCTACAGAGAGGATTGATTTAAAGGCAAGATATAAATGTGAGTAGTTTCAAAGGACTCTCCATTTGAATATCTATTTCTAATGAAACCTCTTTTCATATTAAAGTGTCATTACAGGATTGGTTTACTTTAAGACCAAAAAGGATCAGAGGGGAAGTGCTCTTGTCTGGCCCAAACTGCAATTATATTGCACACCAACATAAAGAAAGACATTGTCAGGAACAAATTAAGCTTTCCACTAGATTTTTTAATTTATTAGCATTTGAAAAACCTTCCACCTAAATACCGACAACACAATGAGTTTTTAGAAGTTCCCTTGCAAAACAAAGGTGACGAATGATCAGTTGACACCAAATACTGAATGGTGGTACTTGCTCCCTCACGAGATGAGAGCTGCAGATTAAAAATACTCACTGACAAATTAAATGCCTGTCACATGTAGCTTCCCAGTGCTTGAAAACAGACTGAGCGTTCTTAGATATTATAAGATAGACACAAAGCAAGCATGATAAATGGAGATCATTACATCATAAATACCTTTGGTACTGCTGCTTAGTTTCACCCTCTTGCGCTTGCCCACACCTTGGCTTCCATCCTGGTCCTCCTGGAGTAGGGGAAGAGATTACAAAAATCAATAGCTGTACAGATTTTACTGCAGAGAGTAAATACTCTGTAATTCACTTCTGGATTAAACACATAGCTAAAAAACAACAGGAGACCCTGTACATACTTGGTAATAGGACAATGTTTTATCTACTATGGGAACCACAAACTCAATACATTTTAAAAAATGGTTTCCCCAAGGACAACATTATTACGTGCGAGTTCAGACATTTTAACGTATTTTATTCATTTAGAACATAAGAATGGCCATACTGGGTCAGACCAAAGGTCCATCAAGCCCAGTATCCTGTCCTCTGACAGTGGCCAGTGGCAGGTGCCCCAAAGGGAATGAACAGACAGGTTATCATCAAGTGATCCATGCCCTGACATCCAAAACCAGCTTCCGGCAAACAGAGGCTAGGGACACCATTCCTGCCCATCTTGGCTAATAGCCATTGATGGACCTATCTTCCATGAATCGATCTAGTTCCCTTTTGAACCACATTATAGTATTGGCCTTCACAACACCCTCTGGCAAGGAGTTCCAGAGGTTGACAGTGCGTTGCGTGAAAAAATACTTTCTTGTGTTTATTTTAAACCTGCTACCTATTAATTTCATTTGGTGGCCCCTTGTTCTTGTATTATGAGGAGTAAATAACACTTCCTTATTTACTTTCTCTATACCACTCATGATTTTATAGACCTCTGTCATATCTCACCTTAGTCGCCTCTTTTCCAAGCTGAAAAGTCCCAGTCTTATTAATCTCTCCTCATACAGAAGCTGTTCCATACCCCCTAATAATTTTTGTTGCCTTTTTCTGAACCTTTTCCAACTCCAATACATCTTTTTTGAGATGGGGCGACCACATCTGCATGCAGTATTCAAGTTGTGGGTGTACCATGGATTTATATAGAGGCAATATGATATCTTCTGTCTTATTATGTATCCCTTTCTTGATGAGTCCAAACATTCTGTTCGCTTTTTTGACTCCCGCTGCACATTGAGTGAATGATTTCAGAGAACTATCCACAATGACTCCAAGATCTCTTTCTTGAGTGGTAACAGCTAATTTAAACCCCATCATTGTGTGTATATATATATATATATATATATATATATATATATATATATATATAGTTAGGATTATGTTTTCCAATGTGCATTACTTTGCATTTATCAACATTAAATTTCATCTGCCATTTTGTTGCCCAGTCACCCAGTTTTGTGAGATCCTTTTGTAGCTCTTCGCTGTCTGCCTGGGACTTAACTATCTTGAGTAGTTTTGTATCATCTGCAAATTTTGCCACCTCACTGTTTACCCCTTTTTCCAGATCGTTTATAAATATGTTAAATAGGACTGGGCCCAGTACAGATCCCTGGAGAACACCACTATTTACCTTTGTCCATTCTGAAAACTGACCATTTATTCCTACCCTTTGTTTCCTATCTTTTAACCAGTTACCAATCCATGAGAGAACATTCCCTCTTATCCCATGACTGCTTATTTTATTAAATTTTGCTGGCTACTTTACTTTCTTTCTGAAAAGAATTGCTAAAAAATGTTTACATACGTAAAATATCTAGATACGGTACATGTAACTATGAAGTTTAATTTTTATCCCTTTGTAGGTGTTTTTGTTGTTTTGGGTTTGTTTGTTTTTTTGCATGCATGGCCTCTTCTGGCTTTTCCAGCCAAATAACTATGAATCTGAGATGGCAACACAAATAATTGGAGTAGACATTTTCTAATCAATTTAAATGTTTCTATCCAACATTGAAATAATTTAATTTGTTGGCAGCCAGCTATAATTAGAAGAGCCCTAGCAAATAAAGTAATATTTCAGATATATAAAAGGCACTTGTCAGCTGAAGTGCACAGAGCCCTTTATAAACAAGCAAGCCAGCCTTACAGAAACCAATTTAGATTAAAAACATGATCACCACCACTTAAATGGGAAAGATAGGGCATAAAAAGAGAAAGTGACATGCAGACAGATATATGAGTTAGGATGCTGGATCCTGGCCTCCAAGTCTACTGCTCTAACAAGCAGATGACACTGCACCCACTATAATACTAGAGAAACAAGTTAAATATATTTGTCTTCATTACAGTTTCTGAAATGTGTGATTTTATCCATTTAAGAGGATGAAAGCTGTGATCAAATTTGGGGAATAAAGTATCATTTTCTTGAAAAATATTTTCCTCAACTGAAATGTGTGCTGAGTATTTGTCTCCCATGTCATAGTTGGTGAGGATTAAATCTTAATGGAAAGAGTTGAAGTTTAACAGCAATGTATCCTGAACACTAATCTTTTTAGATTCATCCTAAATACAAAAGGGAAAGTACCTTGCTGAATGCCATCTCTCTCCAATTAATCTCCCATGAACTAAAATACACTTAGAATTATAAAGGACAGAATAATTCACCACTCCTACTTATTCAGGAAATAAAAAAGTCTTACATGAGGAGAAAGCATGATCTTTTCTAACAAACTTATTTTCAATTTTGCTGTAAGGCAGTTTTGCTTTAGTGTTCTTGCTGCAGAGTTACTGAAAAGTAAGTAATATTTTCCTTGCAGTAATTTGCACTGTAGAAACTGAACAAGGTTAAAAGCTTGTTTATTAAAGTAGCTTAGAGTAAGTTAACTGGATTTATATTTACAAATGTGCATTTCAGGTCCCACATTTATAAAAGGCCCTTCAGTCTCTTTTTGAGTTACTAAAAAAACTGAGGGGATATGGAAGTTATTTTTACCCTCATCCCTTATCATATTTACTTGTAATCTCCAATTCGTCTGAAAATATGTCAGGAAAATTAAGAAAAAAGTGTACTCAAAAATTAAAATTGGTTGTGTTTGTTTATTGTTAATCCTTCTTGCTATAGATGTTTCTAAATAAAAAAGTCTTGGTTGAGATCAAGTGTGAAAATGCCCACTCATGCTCTTTGAGATTACATTTCAATACGGTAACTGAGAACTTGACTCAGATCCCAGATAGGACCAAATTTCTCAGTTTTAATAATAATAAATAATAAAAACAACAACTGCATGCTTAACATAGTTGCTAGTTTGATCTAACATATGGCGATTTGCAGCTTTATACTGGAGATTGGAAAGAAAGAATGAATGAAGTGTCTACAAGGTGTAAAACACTAACTGACAGGCATATTTCAGTTGCTGCTATTCTCTCCCCACTAACCCAGGCAATTCCTTTCCCCTGGGCCTTCCATTCTATTCCCCAACCTTCCTTTTAAACTGCTATACTTCACCCAGTGAAATAAATCCTTTTTCCCTTTCCACGTACCAGTATACCTCCCTAGTCCCCAGTCATACCCCACCATCCTTTCCAAAAGGAATGCCATATCTGATCCCTCCCCAAACTACCACAATAGCGTCCATTTCCTTCCCTCACAAGAGAGCAATCACAAACAAGGAGTGAGCATCATTTTGAATCAAATTCAGAATATTAAGATGAACTTTCTTTTGTTTCATTTAATATCTCATCAGTAGTATTTCTAGTTGTTATTTCATATTGTGGGGTTTTGTTTGTGTAAAGATACGGTTAAAGAATAGCAAGCAGTGCTTTGAAAAATGTCAACTTATAAATAGCACTGCTGAGAGCATAACATGCTGTGAGCTGGTGACAACAGAGGCAAACATCTGATGTAACTTATTGTAGGTATAAACAAACAATAGATTTTTCACTGTTACACCTGTTCAAATAGATTTCAGGATAAACTAAAAGTCCTTGCCAACGATGATGTTTTAAAGCATTTAAAAAGTTTGTTCTGCCTCCCTGCTCAGATGTCTGAACAAGTTAGAAATGACTGTTGTCTGCTCCTGTCAGCTGGGACTAAGCTATCATCTGGAAGACCGTTAAAGGTTTAGTAAAAAAAATTAGGTCCATAAAAACAATATTTCAAGTAAGTTAAGAATACATTAATAAAGCAACTCTACAGCGACGTAACTATTCCCCATCAATTGTTTTTGCTGATTCCAGCTAACCTAAACATAGGTTTTTCTCCTTCTCCCCTACCAAACATGATTAGTAAATAAGGCCAGATCTACACCAGGGAATTTACATAAGAAAATATTCCCACTGTTGCTATCACCAGCTCAGCTGCACCAGTATTAGCATCGCTGGGATATCTAGCGCCTAACACTGCTCACACCTCTTTTAGCATCATCTGTATTAAACCTACTTAGAACAAGTCTAATGGACATGATGCTGAAAATGACTGCTGAAAAGAGAGAGCCACCTGTACTAGATATAGCAATTTCCTGCCATATCCTTGGGTGATCTACTGAATTAAGTTTAAGTATCTTTGGGGCCTATGGTATTAAGTTAATGGTTTATGTATTCCTGTGGGCTAGAATTGTATGCAACTTCCTGAGGGTGGGGTGGGAGAGAGATGTACTAGATGACAGACCTGGGTGTTCAAAGGACTATACTGAACAAAGTGTCAGACAAGAATGGACTTTTGCAACAAAAAGTGTTAAGTGAACTTCCTGGGGAATATCTAGGGGGAGGTAAATATAAATACTTCACCTCCAATTATGCAAATATCAAACCTTTTGAAGCTATGCTCTGAGTAGGCCACTTTCCGTTGATCACCTGTTACATGAGGCCAAGATCAAAGGACAAGCTGTATAAAGGAAAAACTGAACTGTTCAGTAATTTCCACTACATGCATCCGACGAAAGCTCATGCTCCAACACGTCTGTTAGTCTATAAGGTGCCACAGGACTCTTTGCTGCTTTTACAGATCCAGACTAACACGGCTACCCCTCTGATACTGAACTGTTCATAGTGGTTCTGGTTCTGAATATGAAACAGTTATGAATTTATAACTGGGGGAAAACCCAGTTATGGACTTGAAGCTACCAGAGCTCAAAACTGGAGTCGGGTGACCTCTGGTTAAGTTTTTTAGCAAATGTAGGTTCTTTTACTCTTTTTAATTTTTTTCTGTAATGCTTTCAGTTTAAAAATAAATTTGCTTGCTTATGAAGAGCTGTGTGGTAACTTGTAACCGTGGGCAATTCCACTGTTCATAGCCATTAGCGAGAAAGCAAAGCACAGATGCTGGCCTGTTTAGGCAGGCTGGCTTGCTGAGACATCACAGTGTAGGCAGGGAAGTGCACAGCCTAGAAAAAGCCAAGCCAAGAGGGAGAGAGACATGGGTCACTAATAAAGCTGCAAGTTTGTCATGGAGGTCACAGATTCCGTGACTTTCCGTGACTTCTGCAGCGGCCGGTGCGCCTGGCTCAGGGGCAGCTCAGGCAGCCCCTGTGCCAGTCACACCGGCCACTGCTGGGGCAGTCTTGGGCCCCCACGTCCCGTCCCCCCCCGACCTCAGCAGCAGCAGAGTTTGGGTGTGGAAAGAGGCAGAGGCACAGGACGGGGTGAGGCGGGCTCGAGGAGGCAGTTATCTGAGGGGCTCCCTGGAAGCAGCGACATCCTCCCTCTCACTCAATTGCTAGGCGGAGGCGTGGCCAGGCAGCTACCTGTGCGCTACCTCCACCCAGAGCACTGGCTTTGCAGCAATGGGAGCTGTGGGGGCAGTGCCTGCAGGCAGAGGCAGCGTGCATGCACCCTGCAGAGCTGCCTGGCCACGCCTCCGCATAACAGCTGAGTGAGGGGGATGTCGCCATTTCCGGGGAGCCCCCCAGGTAAGCGCTGCCCAGAGCCCACCTCATCCCGTCCCGTGCCCCCTCCCACACCCAAACTGTACTGTTTGGGGGGGAGGTGCAGGGCCAGGTAGGGAGCCTGCCGGCCCCACCAACCCCCACCAGCAGTGGGGTTCCTGGGCTGTGCTCTGCTGCCCACCCATCCCCCCGCCAGCACCTGGGCTGCCCTCCCTCAGCCCCCTCCTCCCCAAGTTTTAGTCAGGGGTATATAGTAAAAGTCATGGACAGGTCACAGGCTGTGAATTTTTGTTTACTGCCTGTGACCCGTTCATGACTTTTACTAAAAATGCATCTGACTAAAAAGTTGCCTTAGTCACTAACCATGATGGCTGAGGACCTAGGAGCTTAGAGTGGGTGCCCTTGTTGGACCACGAGGGGAGAAAACGGGTCGCAGTTGCCCTGAACTGTGACACCACATATCTATGTTGCTTACACCAGTTCAGCTGAAGCAGTATTAGCAACGAGATTTTTTTTTTTTTTTTAATTAGAGTTCTTTAGTGGAGCAAGGGCATAAGGAGCTGGTCCTGTAGATCCCTACTAACAGACGTTCTCTCCACTGAACTAGATAGACATACACCGAGTATTAAAGATTTGCAGGATTGGACTAAAGTATTCTCTCTGTTTATATATTGTTACATTTCTATTTGATTTCTTTGAGAAAAAAAAAAAATCTCACCTCATCTGAAGACTCTCCTTGTCCTGATGTTGTTGTAGCGCCTGCTAAACCTTTTGAAATAAACATAAAATAAAATAAAGATTTCCTTCACAATTCTTGTACTGACGAGAGACACATTTTGTGAGATGTAATGACCCATAAAGAAACACAAAACAATCTCAGCTATAGCCACACTGCCTCATACTGATCTCGTTAGCTCTCACAAGATAAGCAGTACTGGGCTTGGCAGTACTTGGAGGGAAGATCTCCAAGGAATATTCAGGGTACTTGAAGAAGTGATGCTTGTGATTCAGAATTAGGTCCCACCATAGTGCTTCAGTGCACCATGTTGGTGGAAAAACATTCTTTCAGAAGAAACAAACTGAGTTCCTGATCACTTCTGGCCATCAAAAATCCAGGGCACTATTGCAATAATAAGGATTTAACCCAGTTACAATCCCTAAATTCCAATATGAGTAATTACATCTTGCCTACTTGAATTCCACTAATTCTCTGATTGGATAAGGATTATTGTTCACATCCTATCCCTGAAGTACTATGTTTAGTTTTGTTGGTGCAGTTACAATGGGTCCTGCATTTTGGCAGTATGTGAAGTGATCCCTACAAATAGTTTAATTCCATGAAGCACTTCAAATACTGTTTAGGACACAAGAGAAGTATTTTTAAAAGCAAGATTCCCCCCAACCCATGATGTTTTTCTACACAAACCTTGAATTGCTAAAGTGCTAGTCCCAGATGCTTGCTCCTGCATACCACATGCAAGTTTATCCTCAGGAAATGCCAGTCCAGAGCCTTTCAAAGCTATGAGGTACTTTTCATGACTTTTCTTTGCACATGCATTTTCTCCAACACCTTGAATATATATTTAAAACAACATTAAAGCAAAGACAAACAAGTATTCAGCTCATGTACTAACACAAGAGGCCTCACTTAATGAGATTCGTTCCAAAAGCATTTATTTTACAAGATTAAAAAATTTAAAAAGTGGTCCACAATATTTAAAAAAGATATGAACAAAAGAGTTAGAGATGCAAGTCTACAAATTTGACCCTAAACAAACACAAAGTCAGTTTGCCAGCAGATGAATTTAAATCCAAAATACAATAGACTTTTCTGATCCGTTATTTTTTCCAAATCAAGAAGCATTTTTCTTCTAATCAAGGCACCCATCATTTCCGTTGAAGCAAGATTGCTACCTACTATAATACTTCAGCCATCTTCAGCTCAACCCGGGGGGGGGTGGGGGGGAAAGAGATAGAGACAGAAACCCCAAGTTGGTGGAAATAAAAGGATACTGAAGTGAATTGGGCCTAATATATAAAACTCATTTTAAAAATTGTCTAAATTTTGGCAGAGAATGTTCTAAGAGCATCAAACAGGAAAAAACAGCCACTTTATTTTTGGATCTCAAAATAAAAAAAAAAGTTGAGTTGAGACTACTGCAGCAGCAGTAAACCAAGTTTATTCCCAGAACTATAGACACTTCCACTCACATCCAAGTTGCTGGTTCACAAAGTAGTAAATAAATTGCACACATTGGATTAAAATCTTCAAAGACAAACGGCTAGAAAAAAAAAATCAGTATTTCTCTAGCAAAAAAAAATTTATGGGGAAATAATTTTGTTTTCAGGTTTTTAAGCAAGCTATTAAACAATGAAAAGGCAAATGCCACAGAGATGACAACATCCTTTTTAGCTGGCCACCTGCTCCCTGCAGCCAGAGTTAACCTATGCAGCAAGCGGACCACAAAAACGCCTCAGGTCTTGCTATGTTCTGCCTCCATGGAGACTAGGTCTCCACTCATAGAGGTATGTTCCCTACTCCTGCAGGCATACTTCCTTATTCCACACAATCTTTCCCCCCTCCCAACTCCACCTCCACCCCCACCCCCTGGGGGAGAAAACAAAAAACAAAAAAACAGGCTCTTCCACCTAAGCACAACATGCATAGGAAGTCTGCTACTCTGTGATGCAGGGTGAGCTTTTCCCCTGCAGAGTAAAAATTATTAAACTTCTTTCATTCAAAAGAGATCATGCTTGGCTCCCAAAAGACTTTTCCCTTAAAGCATGAAAAAGTGAATTTGGGAGAGAGAAGAGCAGGGCAAAGTACTTTTCAGCAGTATTCGTAAGTATTTCTCTTTCAGATAGAAGAGTGCTGTCCAAGAGTTTAGCCCTCCTTTAACCTGCTCAAGATAATTACACTAACTTAACGCCAGAGTAACTCCTATCTGCTTTGTAGTCATGTAGAAGTAGGTTAGAAAGACTCAAAAATGAAAGCAGCAAGCTACAGAAAGCACGGAGTTCATTTGCATCAGGTCCCCCTAACCAGTGACTGTGTAACATTTTGGGCTGGATGGGAGGGGGGAGCATCAGAGAAAGAAAATAGGTGGCTTATATATCAGGCTATTTTTACTCTGAACAGAATACCCAAAGCCTCAGGCAGCAACAGGTATTCTTTATGAGAGCAGGTCCTAAAATAAAATATGAGGCGTTTATGATCATATGTTTTTATGGTAATTAAATGTTAGTTAAGTCAGCTCTGTTCTTGATCTTAGACCAATTATAAAAATGTTTATTGAAATTATACGTCCTTATAAAAATACTTGTGCCACAAAAGACCCTACTCCACAGTTCTTACATCAGCAAAATTCCCATTGGCTTCTCAAGCCCTAAAAATAGCAATCAACTCAGATGTCAGTTTATAATTATTCTTATAATTATTTTTCTGATCTTTTTGGTGACATCAGAACAAAAGAATACCGTACACTGGGCTGATAATGAACAAAAATGGCTTCAATTTAAATTTCTAATAATTTAAACATTTAACAACAGGAATATGCATGAACTCACCAGAGCTCAGATCTTTGTAAAACTGTTGGTTTGTCAAAACCTGGGTAAGGACTGATCGCATTGCTCCTCCCATTTTGGTCAAGTCTTCTAGAAAGGAAACATGAGGCTCCAACATCTGAAGGATTCTGTGAAGGTCTTTTTCTGATGGCAGATCAAGAGCTGGAAACCCAATAAAAGACGTTTAAGGCAGAGAAAGACAATTGTTTCATTTTATTTGTATTGCTTCAACAAAGGATTGTACTGAACATTTCAACAGATTAAAACACTAGTTAGGCCACCAATAAAATGTATTTATAGACAGTCTAGTCTCCCTTAAGAATTATCTCCATTTGACAAACATACAACATTAGACAATTGGATTTATGATCGAGAGAGATCCAGGACTGAAACAATAGGGACACTATAAGTTAGTACTATGATGCAAAGGCAATAATACAAATACATAGTGAACTTACAGAGCAAAATGAATGGCCATAGCCAGCGTTGTCAGTGTATTACTTTCAAAGGAAATAAGATCTCTATACAACAGAAAATCATGTTTGACTGAAATATAACCGCATGAATCATGTGTATGTCAATATCACTCCACAAGATGAAATTTCTATTTTTCAATTTGCTTTTTTTAAAAAAAAAAATAGTAAATTACATACAAAAAGCTATGTTAAAAGAATATTACAATTGCTTGTGAAACCTTAATTTTGTCCCCTTGTGTGTAAGCATTACTAGAGACCTTAATTACAGTTTTAAAAAATTAGTGTTATGGAGGATGGTTAAGACTGATTCAGAGCTTTCTGTTAAAGAGAGAATTTTTCAAAATGCTCTAAAATCCACATCACAGTTCAGGGCAACTGCACCTTTATTTCACCTCCACGGTCCACCAAGGGCACCCACTTTAGGTTCCCAGCTAATCAGGAGTCACCTCTCGTGGGAAGTGGCCCGCATCTTTCTCTCTCTCTCCTGACTGGGAGTTTTCCAGGCTGCATCTGTACTTTGCTTTCTCTCCGAAGACTATGAATAACTAATTGCCAGCACTCAAAAAACACATAGATCTTTATAAGCAAGCCAATTTAAAATGAAAGCATTTCAGAATTTTTTAAAAAAATAATAAAATAACCTGCATGCCAGTAAGCTTACCAGAAATTACCCCCTCTCCCACGTTTTAACAAGAGCTTTGGTAGGAGTTACTCCTTCAAACCCTAAAAAGGGGGTTTTCTGTGGTTACAAGTTCATAACAGCCTTAACTCAGAACAAGAAACACCATAAATAGTTCAGTCTTTCCTTTATACAGCTTGGGCCTTTGATCTTCAGATTCCAGGAACAGGTAATTGCAGGCCTGGCTTGACATGAGTAATTGGACATGGGTGAGGCCTCATGTCTTGAGAGAAAAGATTAGGGAGATAAATGAATCAGCAGGTTGGAAACAGAATGTCTGTACTAGCTAAGACAAGGGAGATACCCAGGAAACCATTTAAATGGACAAGAGAAGTCGGGAACATAAAGATGAGGTATAGAGTAAGTAATACATGGATGATGCATAGACAGAGCATGCTGCACAGGGATTGGCTCCTACAAAGTAACCAAGCCAATCCCAAAACATATAATGCAATGTATAGTAAATGCAGTGCAACGTGTAAATGTATATAAAGGAAGAGGTCTGCCGTGCAACTATGTATATGTGGTATGCCCTGCGCTCATCCCTATGCTTGAAACTGATCAACTCAAGAGTAGTTTGATTGTATGCCAATAAAGAAACTCTAGTGATGAGTTCGGAGTCGAGCTGAATTCTTGGGGAACTGAGAAGAAGAGGTCTTGGGGAAACCCCAATAATCAGCAGACAGTGGTCCTCTCTTTGGGATGTAGCTTCAAAAGGTTGATTTTTGCACAAAGTGGGATATTTGCATTCACTTTCCCCTAGAGATTCCTCAGGAAAACTACTCGACACTGTTCCAAAAGTCCATTCTTGTCTGGCCCATTCAATTACATTGTTCAATTACAGTCCTCTGAAGCTCATAACACTTCCCCAGGCTCATACATCCCATCTCTTCCCCCACCCCCCCAAAGAGGTTACATACAATTCTGCCCACAATAATACATAAACTCTGCATTGAATACAATGGACTTCAAACATACTTCAACTTAATTCAATAAGATTCTTCAAGAATATTGCAGGAAATTGCCATATCTCTCTGACCCATGCATACAGGGAGCCTGTTATGAAATCTGATATGCCACAACAAGGATTAGAATAGACTTTATAGTGCAAATTTAGCATAATTCTGTCAGATTAAGGAGATACAGCCTACCCCAAAGTGAGCTGCTTTTAACTTTCAAAGTGCCCGGAAATACACAATACCCTCTGTTTACAGGAAGGGCACAAGCCAATGCAAGGCAAACTTAACTCCACATTAATAAAGTTTTTTGGCAGTGACTAAAATTAAATTGAGCTCACCAAGTACTGGCCCATTGCACACAAAAAAAAACAAAAAAACTAAATAAAACCAGAGCTCTGATCCTTTCAACATGTGGTTAGGAAAGGATTCACTAGGTTCAGCACAGACTAAAGTTAGCATCTTCACAAAGAACCATAATCAAGAGACAGCAACATAAACCATGCTATCCACATGCAAATTCAAACATACCAGGTTCGTTATATCCTTCTCTTAAGTACTGAATAAGACTAAAGATGAATTGTGGAAGAACTAGTTCTGACATCATCAACAAGTCTTTTGGGACACAGGGAACATTTGAACTGGATTTCATCCGGTGGCGCTTACAAAACCTATAAGACAAACAGGAAAAAAAAAATAGTTAGCCAAGTACCAATACAGTTCAGAACAGATATCTGAAAAACAAAACAACAAAAAAACAAACCCTGAGCCACCACTATTTTCAATTCCCCTTACTGAGCTGCACACTTATGTGCATAAAAGAGGGTACCATGGAATAGGTATTCTGTACAAAAGTTAGTTAAGATGAAGATATAATTGAGTTCACATTCTCCCTGCCATATCCCCAGTAAAATAATAAAATAAAGTTGAGATATTCTTTCAGAGGTTAATCAGAACATAGGATGATTTTCTACATTATGAGCATCTTCCAAAAAACTGGGAAGAGAATACGGTAATGGTATTTCTCATAATTAAAATGTGTTTATGTCAGCCATCCAAAATAGAAGTTGAAATGTTTTCCTCCAGTGAATCTGTACTGGTTTGCTGTATGGATATTGATAAGCACTGAGCTGACGCAAACACCTCTTCGAAAGCATTAAAACATTTGTTTTGAAAGGGAAAAACACTTATGATCACAGATAGTTAAGAAAAATCTTAAAATCAGATGTGGGACCTACCAACTTTCAGAGTCTTTTCAACTGAGAACAATTCAATATTTTATTCTCTTTGCTAAATCTGGATATTACAAGTTTGTATGTTTTGTTCACTGTGTGTAAAATAGGAGGGGGAGATTGTCACCCCACTCCAACATGCACAGGATTGATGTACAGGAACCCCACAAACATTGGGTCCAGCCATGGGAGGATTCCCCTAGCACAGGAACTATAGAAGACAGCCATGAGGCTTACGGGGCTGACATAACTTAGACAGGCAGCCAGGGCTGTTTAAGTTGCACCAGGAGTCCCAGAGCACCCCATAATTAAGGAGACACAAAGGTGGCCAAAAGCCACCATACCCTACCTTTCCAACTGGCCTCTCGCTGTCTGACAGGCACAGCACAGGATCACACTCTGAGTCTTGATGTTATCACGAATTTTCAGGCTTAATTCAGGGGGGAATAATCCTAAAGTATCTCTCTCCCCCACCTCCTACCAATTTTTAATTTAACGGGGGGCGGGGGGGGGAGGGAGGAATCTAACTACAAATCTCCGCTTAAATCCTTCTGTGAAATATCTGAATCACTACACAGTCAAAGAGAAGGACTAATCCTTCAGACCCTTAGGCCTTGGCCACACTTGCGAGTTACCGCGCAGTAAAGGAGCCCCGGGCACACTAGCTCACCCCCGTCCACACTGGCAAGGCACGTAGAGCGCTCTGACTCTGCGGCTACAGCGCGGCTGGTACTCCACCTCGGCGAGTGTAATAATGTTTGCTGCGGCCCCGCTGGAGCACCACAGCGCCAGTATTGACACCCTGGTCCTATAGTGTGCTCTGATCGGCCTCCAGAAGTGTCCCACAATGTCTGTGCTAGCCACTCCGGTCATCACTTTGAACTCTACTGTCCTGCCCTTAGGTGACCAATCGTCAGACCCGCCCTTTAAATTCTCTGGGAATTTTGAAAAATCCCTTCTTGTTTGCTCAGCCAGGCGTGGAGTGCTATCAGCGAATCTTTCCAGGTGACCATGCTTCCACGTGCCAGGCGAGCCCCAGTATGGAGCAATGGCGAGTTGCTGGACCTCATCAGTGTTTGCGGGGGAGGAAGCTGTCCAGTCCCAGCTGCGCTCCAGCCGTAGGAATTACGATACCTTCGGGCAGATATCAAGGGACATGATGGAAAGGGGCCATGACTGGGACGCACTGCAGTGCAGGATTAAAGTGAAGGAGCTGCAGAATGCCTACCGCAAAGCCCGTGAGGCAAACAGCTGCTCGGGTGCTCCCCCCGCGACCTGCCGTTTCTACAGAGAGCTGGACACGATACTTGGGGGCGACCCCACCTCCACTCCAGGGACCACCATGGACACTTCAGAGCCCAGTGCAACAAGGCAGGAGGAGGAGGAGGAGGAGCAGCAAAGTGGGAGCAAGGGTGCTGAGGTGGAGGAAGACCCGCGGAATCCCTAGATGCATGCAGCCAGGAGCTGTTCTCAAGCCAGGAGGAAGGTAGCCAGTGGCGGCGGATGGTGCTTGGGGAAGAACAAACACCAAAGGAGGTTCCCAGTAAGCGGCTTTTATTTCGGGAAGGAAGTTATTCTGTGATGGCTCTTGGGGCGAGGAGGGTTAGGGCTGCATGTATGCCTAGATGCGGAATAGGGCGTTGATGTGCTCTCTCACATCACAGTAATCGGCCTCAGTGATCTCTTCAAAGGTCTCATCCAGAACTTGGGCAATGCGCTTGCGCATGTTTCTTGGGAGAGCCGCTGTGGTCCTTGTCCCAGTCAGGCTAACTGTGCTGTGAGGGGCGGGGGGACCACTGCTGCACACAAGCAAGCTGCATATGGGCCAGGGCGGAAGCCACATTGCAGTAGAATACCCTCCCTTGCTTCCCAGGTCACCCTCAGCAGAGAGATTTGTTCCAGGACAAACTCCTGTGGAAAATGTGAGGACAGTGTTCAGTACAGGGGCCCTCTGCCACTGTTGGCTCTCCCCAAGGCACAGAAACCCAAAGGACCAGTACAGCCATGAAACAATCAGTCCCCCTTGACCCTGTGCTTACTCACCATTTTGGGGTCCAGTGGGTTGTGTGCGCGCGCTTTGGGACGGGCAAATTATGCTATTGTGTAGACTGTGCTTACCCTTAAGTACGGGAGAATCATTGTTCTGTCTGGTGTGAACAATGCTGCCTCTGTTAAGTGTTGCATTTTGCCTTTACAGATGCAACCTTGAGATCTCAGCCATCCGTGTTACCACCGGCTGAAAGACTCCAAAGAATCAGAAAGAGGCCACGTAGAAGCAAGGAAGACATGTTGCATGAAGTAATGCAGCATTCAAGTAATGAAAATCAAAAAGTGCGGGAGAGCGAAAGGAGGGTCCGCCAGCAGAACGAGGATCGCTGGCACCAAAGCACGGAGCGGCTGCTAAACATCATAGAGCGCCAAGCGGACTCGATACAGGCGGTCGTAGCAATGCAGGTGGAGGACTACCGCACACGCCCCTCCCCCCGCCCCCCCGGAGCCTTTGTCCCAAAACTCTTTCCTTTGTGCCCCCATGTCACCTCCAACCCACTTTCCCCAATATCCAGGTTCTTACCGCCACCAGCTGCCTCCAACACCTGTAGCTTCACCACCCAGCCCTGAAAACTAGGACCCTTACCCACTGCACTCAACCCCCATCACCATGCAGTATTGCCATCCTGAAGAGCAGCACTCATTGCACAGCACTCCAGACAGGACATACGCAAATCTGTGATTGTACCGTTCCCCACCCCACCCCCTTGCCCTTTCTGTTTCCCAAGCAGTTGTGTCTCTTTCCAATAAATGAATTTTCTTTTCAATAAACGGATTTTTTTGGCTTTGAAAACAAACATTCTTTATTATTGCATAAAGTAAAAGATACCTTAGCCCAGGAAAGAAACAGCACTGCAAGTCAGCGTAGCAAACATAGATTCCTACTAACATTGGAACCACTACACTTCACTCCTGTGCAGGGCACCAGACATTACTGGTGGCTTTTAGCCTCAAATTGCTCCCTCAAGGCATCCCTAATCCTTGCAGCCCCGTGCTGGCCCCTCTAATAGCCCTGCTCTCTGGCTGTTCAAATTCGGCCTCCAGGTATTGAACCTCCGAGTTCCATGCCTAAGTGAATCTTTCACCCTTCCCTTCACAAATGTTATGGAGGGTACAGCACGCGGCTATAACCACGGGATGCTGTTATCGGCCAGGTCCAGCTTCCCATACAGAGAGTGGCAGCGGCCCTTTAAACAGCCAAAAGCATACTCCACAGTCATTCTGCACCGGCTCAGCCTGTTGCTGAGCCGCTCCTTCCTGCTGTCAAGGCTCCCTGTGTAGGGTTTCATGAGCCACAGCATTAAAGGGTAAGCAGGGTTTCCAAGGATCACACTGGGCATTTCGACTTCCCCTACGGTGATCTTCTGGTCTGGGAAAAAAGTCCCGGCTTGCAGCTTCCTGAACAGGCCAGTGTTCCGAAAGATGCGTGCGTCATGCATCTTTCCGGGTCAGCCTGCGTTAATGTCAATGAAACGCCCACAGTGATCCACAAGCGCCTGGAGAACCATCAAGAAATACCCCTTCCGATTAAGGTATTCGGAGGTTAGGTGGGCTGGTGCCAGAATTGGGATATGCATGCCATCTATCACCCCTATGTAGTTAGGGAAACCCATTTGTGCAAAGCCAGCCACAATGTCATGCACATTACCCAGAGTTGCGGTTCTTCTGAGCAGGATGTGACTAATGGCCCTGCAAACTTGCATCTACACAATTCCAATGGTCGACTTTCCCACTCCAAACTGGTTAGCGACCGATTGGTAGCTGTCTGGAGTTGCCAGCTTCCAGATTGCAATAGCCACCCACTTTTCCACCATCAGGGAAGCTCTCAATCTCGTGTCCTTGCGCCACAGGGTGAGGGCGAGCTCCTCACACAGTCCCATGAAAGTGGCTTTTCTCATCCGAAAGTTCTGCAGCCACTGCTCGTCATCCCAGATTTGCATGACGGTGTGATCCCACCATTCAGTGATTGTTTTCCAAGCCCAAAAGCGGTATTCCACGGTGGTGAGCATGTCCGTGACTGCCACAAGCAAACTCGTGTCATATGCGTTACTCAAGGCGATATCATTGTCGGAGCTCTCACTGTCACTTTGGATCATAAGGAATAATTCGACTGCCAAACGTGACGTGCTGGTGAGACTCGTCAGCATACTCCTCAGCAGTTCAGGCTCCATTCCCACAGACTGAAAGGGAAAACAGCGCTCAGTACAAAAAACATTGAAAGATGGCGCCAAATGTGGACGGAAGCAAAGGGAATGCTGGGATGCGAACCGATGCATCACGGGGAGTTGGGACAGGACCCAGAATGCCCCACACTCCTTTCCCACAAGCCACAGCGCCAGAATGGGAAGAGGTGCTCTGTGGGATAGCTGCCCATAATGCACTGCTCCCAA